GCTGGTTGTTGACAAAAGCGTATTAGGTTGGCGATAAGGCTTTTTGGTAACGTTGACACAGCGCGTTAACACCTCTAATATAATCATATACTTCCATTATCTTGTTGAACAAGTTAACGGAGTGATCTTAAATGATGCGTTCTACACTAAAGCTCAATATTCTCAGCATCTATTATGTCAGTTCGCGTAACCATATGTCTTAAAATGAGTCGTGATACAAATATTGTACTCCTAAGTATCAATAAATTACATGAGAATAAACATTTAGATTATAAGTTCCCACTAGCTATCATGAAAATCCTGATTACTGCGATGGTTTCAGTCACCTAGGTTGCATATTTCAGAACGTATTTCAGACTTTCTTCATCTGCTATCAGAGGGCGTCAGATGACTACTGCCCTTAATTTATCGTATTGAGTATTCTGTGGTACTTTGTCAATTAGAAATCCAACTTCAACAGCATTTCGGTCAGGAGTACACCCAACACGTTATGTAACAGATGGCTTGCGAGTTAAAGTCGCGTGCTTACTTACGCCGCCGACCACCATTCTCCAAACCCACCCGGTCCAGGGCTTTCCTTTCTATTTCTATCCAATCTTTGTTCATTCTTCTCATGTCTGTCTCCATTTCTCGGTATAATGTGTTCTTTAGTCCCACTCTTCTCATTTGGTCTTAAGGATTCCATATGAGGACTTGCCTTGAGACGCAGTTGGGTGCTTTCCTCAATGTGTATCCTACCCACTTCCAGTACTTCTTCCTGATTACTTCCTCCACTGGATGGAATCTGCTTTGTTCTCTCCCACAGTACGTTATTGCTGATAGTGTCTGGCCAACAGATCCGAAGTATTTTGCGTAGACAACAGCTAATAAACACTTGTATCTTCTGGATGGTGACTTTCGTAGTTCTCCAAGTTTCCACCTCATACAGTAAAACCTATTTTGACATTTGTATTAAAAATTCTGATCTTGGTGTTGGCTTCATTTGTCTGATGGCCTTGCTGATCTCTTCAATTGTTGGTGGTCCAACATCGATTGGGAGGTCCGTGGGTGCTGCTTCGATGTTGGGTGGATTCAGTGGAGGTGGTCAATTCAAGATTTCTTTGAAGTGTTCAATCCACCTGTTTCGTTGTTCTTCAATGTTAGTGACTACCTTGCCTTCCCTGCTTTTCACTGGTCGCTCTAGTTTGCGGTAATTTCCATCGGGTTTCTTTGTTGTGTCATACAGTTGTCTCATGTTTCCTTCTCTTTCAGCCTTTTCTTCCGACATTGCTAAATCTTCCACATATTTACGTTTCCCGGCTCTCACGCTCCTCTTTGTTTGCCTATTTACTCCTGTGTACTCAGCCCGTGTCTTGGCTCTTTCTGCTCTTGTTCGGCTGATATTGATTGCTGCCTTTTCATTGCTCCTTTCTTCGATCTTATCCAGTGTACCAACAGTGATCCGTTCCTTGTGGTGGTGCTTCTTGTGACTCAGGACCTCATAATATATTGAAAAGATTGCCTTCTTCATCCCGTTCCATTCGTTCTCCATAGTACTTCCTTCTCCAATGAATAGATCATGAAAGGCCAGCAACTTGTTGCTGAGGACTATCTTGAATTTATTGAGTTCGTCAGTATCTCGAAGAAAGGCCGTATTAAATTTTCGTGATGTTGTCCCCCCCCCGTTGTCCAGTGCTTCTTAAGTTTTAATTTCATCTTGACGACCAACAAGTGATGATCTGATGTTACATCAGCTCCTCTCCTGGTTCTCACATCCTCCATCGTCCTCCTGAACTTTTTGTTGATGCAGATATGGACGATTTGGTTCTATGTAGTATGGTTCGGTGAATTCCATGTGGTTTTGTGAATGAGTTTATGTGAGAATATAGTGCCGCCTATGACCAGTTTATTGAAGGCACATAGGTTTGCAAATCTCTCACCATTTTCGTTCCTTTCTCCCAGTCCGTGTTGTCTCATGACGTCTTCGTATCCAGTGTTGTCCATTCTAACCTTGGCATTGAAATCTCACTTCACAATGGTCAGGTCCTTGGTTGGGCACTTCTCGAAGAACGACTGCAGCCTATCGTAGAATTGGTCTTTAGCGTCTTCATCGTAGTAGTTGCTAGTGTAGTATCGGTCGTTATGTTAAGCCCATATACTTTATTCTAGTTACTGGCCAAGCTAATTCACCTATATATTATGAGTCATATTTTGGTCTTGTTAATTAGTCGCTTATTGACCTTGACTATACTTTTATATTGAGCGTATATGTATACCCTTCGTATCCTATTCATTATATGCCTGTCATTCATTTTTGCCTGATTATAAATATTGAGTAATGCTTGCTCATAGAGAGTCGGCTTCCCCGCCATCTCCAATACGCATTAATTTAGCTTCACTTTCGAGTTGGCTTACCAGCCATCTCCCATGCACGTCATTTTTGCTTCCTTCCGCTCTCATCTATTTGCTTGATCACTCTGCTTCCCTGGCCAGATCAATGAGTGTAGAAATTATATGTATTCTAATTCCATTCTCGTATTTGATTTATTTAACTCCGTTATTCATTAACGCGGATCAAGTCATTTATTACATACGAGGATAGACAGAATCAGATTTACGCCACGACATAACTGGTTAGCCCGACTAACGAACTCGCAACACTAGGCGCATAGCATTGAATGACGTTCATTGTAATGCCCTCTCTCTTCGTTTTGAAGGAGGCTTTGATGATCCATGTTCCATGAGATTCCCATTCAATAAGTGCATTTCGTGATTTTTTGGACAGCACCAATGCAACTCCTTGTGCATGTGGGGCATTTTCGTCTTCATGGCCAGAATATAACAGGAGTTCCCCTGAAGATAGTCGTTGTTGTCCAACCTGCGTCCAATGTGTTTCTGTGATGCCAAGCACCCTCAGGTTGTATCTCCTCATTTCTGCAGCAATTTGGAAGACTCTTCCAGTCTCCCACATTGTCCGGACGTTCCATGTACCTATAAAAATTGTTGCTCTGGTTGTTAGAAAAGATATCGGCCTCACGACTTCCAAAGAATCTCAGCTTACATCATGAGGCGTCATAATTCTTCCTTCTACTCCCAGGGCAGATTTTAAATGGTTTGAATAATTTTCTCTGGTTAGCGTTTTTTAACCGATTAATTGTCTACGTGATCGGATCGATAACCCCATGTTCAACCCTCCTAATTCATACGGGCTTGGGACCAGAATTAATCCTTGCAGGAGCTACAGGCGGAGTTAAACTTTAGGCCTGCAGTCATACAAATATTTAGATGGAATACTATTTACAGTACAGTATATCTAGTCGGATTATAGATATACTTTTCAGTACTTTGGGGCAGCAAGGACTTAAAATTTCTAAGTTGCCCAACAAAGTTTAAAAGAGTGTTTTTCGAAAAAGTATGAGCGATAAAAACCCAATTTAAATGAGAGATACGATATGTAAGACTTAACAGAAAAAATACCGGGCATCAAAGTGTCAGGGTAGCACAGTCCAGAAATCTATTTAAAGTTTCAGAACGATTACAGCGAAATATGTTATTTTCATTTCTGCGACAACCATCGAGGAATAAGCCTACTTCTGGTTGTGATCTGTAATATCTAGGACCTTAGACTCTTGGTATACCGCTTATGACTTGAGCACTTAAACGCTAGAATACTCCAAGTCGCGAATAAAAAAGACTGGAGGGAACTGGAGAAAAGCGCTTTTTGGGCAGGAATCAAGATGTCCAGAAAATCATGGGTATTTATAGATATTAGAGTTTGTTAAATTAACATTATAATTCAACCAATTTGCAAAGAGGCATGCTACACTACTGACCAATAGTAGCATGGCACGTTGATATTCTAAAAAGCTCCATTGCGTTCAGGTTGACCCATTTAGGGCCTCTAAAGGCTCCGCCGTAGTTTTCGCAATATGTTCCAATATGACCAAAATATTAGCTTCCATCATGATTTGTCGATGGTTTGAAACCCGAGAAAGATTAACTCGCGACGGGCAGGCTGGTTTTCATTTTGGCTGAGGATGTATTTATCATATCTTCACCCTCCGCCAAAAGTTAAAACACCGTCATACTTATTACAGGCCAGTAATCATAGTATTTCTTGACATTAGGGTCGCCTTCGATTTGTTGGATAGGACTGTTCTCTTGCATTATCTGTTGAAGGGTGTGCCTGAGAAGTTTATTGACATCTTGAAAGCCCTATTTACTTGCCGATGCTGGGACTGGTTGGGAAAAGCAGAAAGGTGGTCAGCGTAATGGTATGAAAGAATGCACAGGAATAGCTTCTTTCGGTTCTCCAAAACTCCCTGGATGGAGTCTGAGAGATAGTGCAACGCAGTGGCTAGAGACGTTATCAAACATGGATCAGAATAGAAGCCAATGGCGATCCTAATTAAACTTCATGAAAATGGATGCAACTTCTTTAACACAAACCCTTTCTGGTTATATTTTTCCTAAGTGAACTATAACTTCCATCATTATTACTTCACTCCCATATACTAATTTCTGTTCGTTGTCCTTTTCATTACACATACTGTACATTATCTCTCCACAACCTTGTTGTTACTGTGTAGCGCATATGTATTTGGCGCCTTCTTGTGTTATTGCTTGTGTACAAATAAATATATAAATTGGTTATATTATCAGAACGGACTTTTGTGGATATTTAGGTGATTTACTTGTTGAGTATATGAGCTAATCGAAGCTGGACCACAGGAGAAAGCCTGGAAGCACTGAACAGCAGATTCGTCATAGTGTGGGACTCCACAGAAATGTCGATGCTGTTTTATGTAGTTATCTCAGCACATGACCGAATTACTCACCATCTGGGAATCGCATTATCAAAATGTTGCTCAAACTTGAATGTTAAATCCAACACAAAGAAAAGTAAATTTTTCTAAGGTTACCAAGTATGTTTTGCCGAATCGATCAAACAACGAACTTTATAAAATTAGCCAAACCTCATAAAACAATTACTATATTAAATTATAATTAAGATCTGTTAACTTATATCCTGTCTTCACACTCATCTCTTAGGTACAGTTTTTTTGTTTTCTCCTTATTACAGTCTTATTGTGATTAACCAAACGACTGGCAGATGACATGACGTCTATAGGATTCAACACCCCACTGTTTTACTCTTAACCTACAGCCATTAATTAATAGCAGCAAACGAGGAGGGAATAATCAGGGATTTATTTTAGTATGTATGATACTTCGAAACGCAACTTCCTGGTATTGTACATTCGATTGTTTGCAAAAACCCCAGTGTGCACAATATATTTTACGCAATATGTTATCGCTCACTGCATTCCATGTAGGAAACGACGTATATTGTTTGACTGTCGACAACCTGAGACAAGCGAGAGTGGTGGGTCAGTTTGATAAAAAGTTTATTCTGCTGATTGGTGATGCTAGAAATAATCATTACCAAATGTTTGAAGAACTATTCTCCAAAAATCCTGGACACAGATCTAAACATTCCTACATTATTGCGGTTGATCAACATGCTGCACACGAGAGAATACTTCTTGAACGCTTTGAAAAAGAGTGTTTGGATTATTTCGAAGTGTCACAAAATAGAGCAATACAAGAACCCCAATTTTTGAAAATATTTTCCAATAAAATATCATTAAAACTATCGAGGCAATTGGTTCCCGATATATTCAACTTCCTTAACCAAGAACCAGATAAGCTATGTTGTCTATTAAAATATGGGTTCTCAGCTATTCTTGATTCTAACTCTATGGGGCAATTTATATTCGTTACCATGATACCTCGAGTAATTCCTCAAAATCATTTGTCAGAAAACCTTTTTAGAAAAACCATTATAAATTGTATTCGAGTTATATTGTTAAACAGAGGGGACACAAATGTCAGTATCATGCACCACATCAAGTATGTCACCGAAAGCTATACGTATTTTACTTCATATATTAAAGGTTTATATTTATGTTAGAATTCATTCTGCTGTTGTGTTAAACCTTGCAATATCTTTGTAAATATCCAATTATCTTCTACCAAATAGAGTTAATAGCATTTGCTTGGGTTGTCGGTATTTAGCACATGACTCCTCCGTGAGAAAATAGGAATCACGACCTGGATCCATTCAGTCGTACTTTAGTTAGATTCCGACGATGTTTTCATATTTCAGCGGCCGTCATGAGAGTAAAAGAAAGCTTACTATCAGTAAATGCATCATTAAGGATACCGAGTGATAACACAAAGTCACTCCGTATCTCAATATTAGGTTAATAAATATGTCTAAGTGTTTCAGTAACATTGTATAAAATATTCGACGTTACGGTTATCAAAATAGTATCTTTTATTTATCGAAGTCAAAGGCTTTTACTTTGATAGAGCTTGAGCAAAATTTCATGTGATATTTTAGATGACATTTTCGGTAGGTTCAGTAAAATTTTTGAACATATTCTAGTTAAGCTGTCTAGAGATTCTTAAGTGGAATTTTAGCACATGAGACCCTTTAACAGCTTCTATATATCAGTGTTCTGATGTTTGCAATTACTCCCAAATTTATTTTTTTCAGGAGTTGTGGTGCTGATGTTCATTACTGTTATGTCAAATAATATTGCTGCAACTGACTTGAATTTGTGAACACCTACTGAAATTAATTTTCATGTACCAATCCCAGGACAATCTTTGTAATCCACTCAGTCAGTCAGCTACAACGTAGGACCAGGCACATATATGCATCGGTCCAAGTTGCCATACATCGTTAGCACAACAAGACCGGATTCATAGAAGTAATTAATTTAGTGGTGGTAGTATATCAAGAAAGGGTGTATATAAGGATATAGTACAGGAAGGAAGAGAGATATGAAGCGATTTTAATCTCAAGGTTTAAGGGAAGATAAAGAGTGTATACACCTACGGCATTGTGATCGATTCTGAGACATGTCACCTAGAGTCTCCAACCATTGGTTACGATAGTCACGCGGACCCCAACCAGGTAGTCTGCATCTGCCAACATGGCTCAGACTAGAAGTTAGTGACTTCAAACACTGACGCCATGTCTTGGTTTGGCCGCCCCTAACTCTCTTCCAACCAACCCCAACACTAGTCATCATAGCGCGTCGTGGTAAACGGTGTTCAGGCATACGTAACACATGGCCCAACCATCTCAGTCGATAAAGATTCACAACCTCATCAACTGATTTACAATCATTTCCTAATACCCTGTGTTTAACCTCACTATTACTTACTCGGTTATCCCAGCAGATGCGAGCAATATTTCTAAGGCCTGTGGTCAAATACTAGTAACCTACGAGTATCTTCTACTCTTAATGGCCATGTTTCACAGCCATAAAGTAGAACAGGGCGAACTGATGTGCAGTATACTCGTCCCTTAATTGATAGACGGATATCTCGTCTTCGCCATAGGTGACGTAAGTTGGCAAAAGCCAAACGAGCTTTTTGAATCCGTGCTGAGATTTCGTCAGACACCAACCCATTAGGACTGATCAGACTTCCAAGATAAGTAAAGTTGTCGACGCGTTCGACTACTTCACTCCCTATCCTTAGTTCAGGTGTTGACGCAGGCCAGTCCTGGAATAACAATTTACATTTGGATGGGGAGAAACGCATCCCAGACATCCTGGCATTATTACTGAGTTCCAACAGAAGACTCTGCATTTTGTCAGCGTCTTCACCAAACAGGACTATGTCATCTGCGTATTCTAAGTCGCTTAGTGGTCCTCCTGGTAGGAGATCAATTCCTGTAAATTCAGTCGACGAGAGTGTTATTTCCAGCAACAGGTCTATAATGAAGTTAAACAAAAATGGGGATAGTGGACAGCCTTGACAGACACCACTTGAGGTTGTAAAATCATATGACAGTTCAACATAAGCTCTCACTCCACTGGTAGTGTTCGAGTAAAGAGCCTTTACAAGGATTATGTACTTCTCAGGTACACCTTTCAATGACAGACACTGCCACAGAACCTCTCGGTCTACAGAGTCAAATGCTGCTTTCAAGTCAAGAAAAACTATCATTGTCGGACGCCGATAAGCGTGTCTGTGTTCTAAAACTTGACGAATGGTGAATATGTGGTCGATACAGCCACGACCAGGTCTGAAGCCAGCCTGATTTTCTCGTGTTTGCAGTTCACGAGTCTTAGTTAGGCGCCTGATAATTATTGAGGCTAGTATTTTAGGTGCTATGTTAGTCAGACTAATCCCTCTATGGTTATCGCAGGATGATTTTGACCCCTTTTTTATATATTGGGACAATCAGCGATTGTGACCAGTCGGATGGGATTACATCCGTCTCCCAGATTTTAGCCAGAATATTAGTCAACCTAATCGCTAAAATTGGACCAGCATATTTAAAGACCTCGGGAACCAATCCATCAGGACCAGCTGCTCTTCCTCGTTTCAGATTACCTATAGCCTTTTGAACTTCAAGTAGGGTCGGGGGGCCTACTTCAATGTTCCATTCAGGTTTTCTGGGAATAGTGGGTAGTTGTGCAGTAGCTGAAGGCCAGCTAAACTTCTCCTTAAAGTGTTCCGCCCATCGTTCTAAACGTTTGGGTTGAGAGCAGGTAAGGGTTCCGTCTTTTCCCGAGATTGTCTCACTTACACTTGACTTCTGAATTCCGGTTTCTTTTATTAGTCTGAATAGTTGCCTACAGCCGCTGCCTTTTCCATCTCTTTTGCTTTCGTTGCCCACCACTGCTGACGATCGTTCCTTAGACTTTTAGTTAACCTAGATCTAATTTGTTTACGCTCTTCATCATGTTCAGAGCCTGATGGGATGAGTTTACGCGAATCCATCAGTGAAATAGATTTAGAAGAAATCCATTGGTTTTTTGGAGCCCTATGGTTTAAATGACTAATAGATGTTACTGCTGTTTCCACAGCTGTTCGTATGTCTGTCCACTGCTAAAACCTTGCAGTTTCGTGCCACTAATTGACACACAGAATTACGTAATATGGTGAAGTCCCTCTTACATGATACCATGTATACTAATGTTACGTTTCTATCAAGGTACTTAAAATACTTGGGTGTTTTACTGGTCAATGAATAATAGACCAATGGATAAACCGTTATCTTCAGCTATATCTCCATTCCTTTCTCAATGAAACTTGTCGGAGAAATGTTTAGTACCCAAAGTAATTTATTCTGGTGCTAATAGATTCTGTGATTGCATGGGACTAAACAGCTTGTCCTGAATCATTTTATTTCTTGAAGACGCTAGTATATGTACTAGCCAAACTGACAGGGATATAATGAAACAAGCTGTTTAGTTCAATCCTTAACAGAAGTTACTAGTACCTTCTAGTTTCTTTTGAATTAATCCCAGGGTAGGGAAACAGTAAGAAACTCAACCAGAAACTTATTAGCAATGTATATAGAGATTAAAAACAACAGAGGGAGTAATCATTTCCAGCTTGAATTTAGAGATGGAAATCTATCCCCGCATATAAGTATAGTAAGTCACTGAAATAGCAAGTTATATGAAGAATTATCGCTGTAAGAATCAAATTTTCGCTCAAGATGTTGATGGGAAGTCCCAAGTTTTGATTAACTTGTGTAAAATTCAGAATCCAACTTTTATTTCGATGATGTTAACTTACTTTGCATTGGCTATAGGGACCATCAGTTTTGTGTGAAAAAAAGCAGAAACAGTTCGTGATTTATTATATTGAACGCTTCCGTGAGAACAGCTTCTACTTCGAAACAGAATCTAGGAAATGTCAAAACTCAAGATATAGAGTAGGTACCTACTTTTAGACACCTAGAAATGTTTATAATCAAAGAGATGCTTTGTGGATATTATGGTAATTTAATAGTTGAATTTATGAGTCCATTGAAGCTAGACCACGCTAGGACGAAACGTCCAGTGCTTCCAGGTTTTCCATGGTGGTATAGATTCGACTAACTCATGAACTCAACTGTTAAATTATCCAGAGATGTGCCAGCTTTTGTTCTAAAGTATCGGTAGTCGTAATGCTCTCAATGAAGTTTTGTTTAAGTTGATTATAAAAATTTATACTGAATTAATCGAAGGTTCTGAGAACTGATTATACAGTTTAAAACTACGAGCTTAATCTCATTCAAACGCGCTTCTATTTTGAAGTCACTATTATTAATACGTCACAAATAATTTTAACCCCTTTTAAGTGAATTGGTAGCTAATCAATGGTATAGAAGTTATACATAATGTAACGTATATTGACTACTCCATGTTTAATGAGGTAGGTATTATACCCCGCCACAGCTTTGCCGGTCTTGGCACCAAAGATATCAGGAACAACCAGATAATCACAACAGGGTTCTTGTGGAGATTTAGTAATTTGATAGTTAAGATCAGGAGTCAATTGAAGCTAGACCACCATGGAAAACCTGGAAGCACTGGACGGCCGTTTCGATCTATTATGGGACTCCTCAGCAGTGCGCATCCTCGCACTCGCGAAATTCGAACCCAGGACCTACCAGTCTCGAGCCAGAGCCCTTAACCGATAGACCACTGAGCTGGCATCCAACGGTGTTAATGTCTAACCTCAATCAATCCACAAACTTGCGCGACCAACTTCCAATGTACTGAGGTAGATACCTGTCTCTACCTGATATGGATTAGCTCCATTGGCCACGACTTCTCACTAGAACTCCAGGAATTACCTCAAGGAGCCAGTCACTAGTAAACATATGATCAATATCACAAGGGGATTTTAGTGGAGATTTAGTAATTTTATAGTTAAGTTCATGAGTCAATTGAAGCTAGACCACCGTGGAAAACCTGGAAGCAGGAAGTGTAACGCTAATAAAAATCATTACATGCAACATTAATAATGTAAGTTTGTATTTCTCATTGCAGGGCAACAAAGAGTGAATGCACTGAAAGAAGAACAAGCCCTACGCGGTCTGAACCTGCAGAATACCGAGTAAAACTACTTTCCCCTTTTGTACTAAAAACCGCGTTTTTCAATTTCAAATATATCTGTTGCACCAGCACACCGTGTTCTCACTTCAGAAGCACTTGTCTGTCCTGACTGTTGTGTTGCTGTTTCAGGTCGCTCCTGCTCCCAAGTAAACGTCGAAATACAACGTGCTACAAGTGGTGATGGAGGTGTTTACGTCAAAACGCGATTAAAACTATGAGGAACCACCGGTCATTCCAAGCAAGCCAGCAACCGGTGCAATCATCCGCCAACCACCACTACTGGGAGTCTTGTCGGATTATGCTATTTGGAAGGTCAGGATTACGACGTATCTACGTACGGTTCCAGTTACCGAACATTTTGACTACCTCCTATCGTGTTTAGACGATGAAGCGGCAAAAAGGGCGATAGCCAATGGTTTTACCGCAAGCAACTCATCTGCTCAAAACTGGAAGGTTCATGATGAATGCTTTTCGTCAACAGTAGACACGCAGCTGGGGACCATGCAGTTTCTGTCGCGTCACCAGAAAATGAGTGAGGAACCCATGGAATACCTACACGCTTTGCAGCAAGCAGCAATAGTAGCCTTCCCAAGCTTAGACGTCTCTATTCGGGAAGAAATAATACGCGCACGATTTACAGAGGGCCTCTTGCCAGGTGCACTACGACAGCACCTTCTGTACATGCCACCGAAAAGCGTTCAAGACCTAAGAACCACAGTTCTCCGGTTCGTTGCCGCAGATAAGCTATCAAACGCTGTCAATACACCGCATTTGTCAGCGAATGCTATTGAACAGCCTGGAGAACCACATCAGTCCAACTTCACTCAAACTATTTTCGCGGTCAAATGGCGCCCCGATAGACAGCCGCTACGAACTAGTCAACATAACCGGAAGACGGAGTGTTTTTACTGCCAACGCTTTGGCCGGAGAGCTCGAAAATGTGGGCATAATAAGTTTTGGAAGCAAGGTGAGACCAGTTTTTCCCATTTGTCTTCATATTATTCTGAATCAGTATATCCGATAACCATAGCTGGTAGTTTACAGGGCCTACAGACTACTATTCTACTGGATACAGGAGCTTCAGTATCCATTGTGAGAGAAGGGTTTTTAAGCACATTGAATCGCATAAACCGACAAAAACCATGTTCCTGCACAGTAAAAACAGCCGGTGTTGACCTTCTGGACGTACAGTCTAAGGTGTGGTTGGAGGTAACGGTGAATAAACACCCATTCCTACACGAATTTTTAGTATGCCACACACTCACCTGGGATGTTATACTTGGAGTTGACTTCATGTTAAAATACGACGTCGTTATACATGTAGCTAAGGCTTAAGCCCGAATGGGGGAAGTAACCATTCTGACACATCGCCTTAAGAACGCAACTAAGTCGGTAGCTCACGTAGGGGTGTCGGAAGTCATACACCAGGTACAAACCAATAAACAAGTAACAGAGGATGTCCGTCTATCAACCATTTCCTGACTCCAAATATTAGTTCTGTTTTCTCAGAGAATATCTCTGGTAATCGGACGACCACGGTACAACACTCTATTCCCACAGGTGATCATATGCCATTACGTCAACCACCCCGAAGAGTACCGGTACACTATCAGCCTCAGTTAGAATCAATGATAAAAGAGATGTTAGAGAAAAAGATTATTTTGCCATCTTCATCACCTTGGGCTTCACCCATTGTTTTAGTGAAGAAGAAAGACTCCTCCCTTCGATTATGTATAGATTACCGTCGCCTTAATGCTATAACAAAGCGCGACTCCTTCCCACTACCACGGATTGATACAACATTGGATGCTATGATAGGTGCGTGTTGGGGCTCGCTTCTTACTATAGACGTTTCGTGCGCGATTTCGCATCCCTAGCAGCACCTTTACATCGCCTGACGCATAAAAGACGAAAATTTTTGTGGACCACAGAATGCCAACAAGCATTTAACACCCTGAAATCATGTCTTGCTGCTCCACCCATACTAGCTTTTCCAGACACTTCAGATAAAGGAAGTGAGTTTATACTTGACACTGATGCTAGCTCGTCAGTTATCGGAGCAGTCCTTTCTCAAACAATACAAGATGGACAGGAGAGGGTCATAGCGTACGCTAGCCGGTGGTTAGATAAAAGAGAGACAAGGTATTCTACGACGCGCCGAGAGATTCTGGCTTTGGTAAAATTTTTGCAACATTTTCGTGGCTATCTCCTAGGGCGCCCTTTTCGTGTACGCACAGACCATCGTGCATTACAGTGGCTTCGTTCATTTCGCGAACCAGAAGGTCAGGTGGCACGCTGGCAGGAGAGATTGAAGGAGTTTGATTTTACTTGCGAATACCGACCAGGCAGCCGTCACACAAACGCCAACCCTCTGTCTCGCATACCCTATGCTCCTACTACTATTAGTGCTGTCCTTAGCACAGCCCCAGAGATCGACTGGCCGTCTCTTCAAGCAACAGACCCTGACCTGCAGTTCATTTACCTACGACAACTACACGAAAACGATAAACCTTCTGCGGCAGAGTTAAAGGATCATTCCCCAGCGACGCGCCGTCTTTGTACCAAGTGGAGTAGCCTGAGATTGTATGGGGACACACTATTTATAGCCAGCGAGTCAAAACAACCACTGTTGATAGTACCACGTGTGCAAGTTCAAAATATTATGGAGCAGGTGCATCGAGAACTCGGGGAAACGGAAAACTGAACATGCGGTTTGCCAGAGGTTTTGGTGGCCATCCATCCATGAAGACGTGACTGAATTCTGCAAAAATTGTAGCACGTGCCATGCCATCAATCACCTCAGCAAAGACCCCGTGCACGTGTTGTGGTGTAGGGACGGCTTCACACCATTTGCTAAAATAGTCCACCATCACCAGTATATAACGGTTTCCGTTCTTTGATGTTGTAAGTGGCCCCATGATATCGATACCGACTCGTTGATGTGGACCTTCTGTCATCATTGGGACTAACGGTGCACGGGGTCTTTGCTGAGGTGATTGATGGCATGGCACGTGCTACAATTTTTGCAGAATTCAGTCACGTCTTCATGGATGGATGGCCACCAAAACCTCTGGCAAACCGCATGTTCAGTTTTCCGTTTCCCCGAGTTCTCGATGCACCTGCTCCATAATATTTTGAACTTGCACACGTGGTACTATCAACAGTGGTTGTTTTGACTCGCTGGCTATAAATAGTGTGTCCCCATACAATCTCAGGCTACTCCACTTGGTACAAAGACGGCGCGTCGCTGGGGAATGATCCTTTAACTCTGCCGCAGAAGGTTTATCGTTTTCGTGTAGTTGTCGTAGGTAAATGAACTGCAGGTCAGGGTCTGTTGCTTGAAGAGACGGCCAGTCGATCTCTGGGGCTGTGCTAAGGACAGCACTAATAGTAGTAGGAGCATAGGGTATGCGAGACAGAGGGTTGGCGTTTGTGTGACGGCTGCCTGGTCGGTATTCGCAAGTAAAATCAAACTCCTTCAATCTCTCCTGCCAGCGTGCCACCTGACCTTCTGGTTCGCGAAATGAACGAAGCCACTGTAATGCACGATGGTCTGTGCGTACACGAAAAGGGCGCCCTAGGAGATAGCCACGAAAATGTTGCAAAAATTTTACCAAAGCCAGAATCTCTCGGCGCGTCGTAGAATACCTTGTCTCTCTTTTATCTAACCACCGGCTAGCGTACGCTATGACCCTCTCCTGTCCATCTTGTATTGTTTGAGAAAGGACTGCTCCGATAACTGACGAGCTAGCATCAGTGTCAAGTATAAACTCACTTCCTTTATCTGAAGTGTCTGGAAAAGCTAGTATGGGTGGAGCAGCAAGACATGATTTCAGGGTGTTAAATGCTTGTTGGCATTCTGTGGTCCACAAAAATTTTCGTCTTTTATGCGTCAGGCGATGTAAAGGTGCTGCTAGGGATGCGAAATCGCGCACGAAACGTCTATAGTAAGAAGCGAGCCCCAACACGCACCTATCATAGCATCCAATGTTGTATCAATCCGTGGTAGTGGGAAGGAGTCGCGCTTTGTTATAGCATTAAGGCGACGGTAATCTATACATAATCGAAGGGAGGAGTCTTTCTTCTTCACTAAAACAATGGGTGAAGCCCAAGGTGATGAAGATGGCAAAATAATCTTTTTCTCTAACATCTCTTTTATCATTGATTCTAACTGAGGCTGATAGTGTACCGGTACTCTTCGGGGTGGTTGACGTAATGGCATATGATCACCTGTGGGAATAGAGTGTTGTACCGTGGTCGTCCGATTACCAGAGATATTCTCTGAGAAAACAGAACTAATATTTGGAGTCAGGAAATGGTTGATAGACGGACATCCTCTGTTACTTGTTTATTGGTTTGTACCTGGTGTATGACTTCCGACACCCCTACGTGAGCTACCGACTTAGTTGCGTTCTTAAGGCGATGTGTCAGAATGGTTACTTCCCCCATTCGGGCTTAAGCCTTAGCTACATGTATAACGACGTCGTATTTTAACATGAAGTCAACTCCAAGTATAACATCCCAGGTGAGTGTGTGGCATACTAAAAATTCGTGTAGGAATGGGTGTTTATTCACCGTTACCTCCAACCACACCTTAGACTGTACGTCCAGAAGGTCAACACCGGCTGTTTTTACTGTGCAGGAACATGGTTTTTGTCGGTTTATGCGATTCAATGTGCTTAAAAACCCTTCTCTCACAATGGATACTGAAGCTCCTGTATCCAGTAGAATAGTAGTCTGTAGGCCCTGTAAACTACCAGCTATGGTTATCGGATATACTGATTCAGAATAATATGAAGACAAATGGGAAAAACTGGTCTCACCTTGCTTCCAAAACTTATTATGCCCACATTTTCGAGCTCTCCGGCCAAAGCGTTGGCAGTAAAAACACTCCGTCTTCCGGTTATGTTGACTAGTTCGTAGCGGCTGTCTATCGGGGCGCCATTTGACCGCGAAAATAGTTTGAGTGAAGTTGGACTGATGTGGTTCTCCAGGCTGTTCAATAGCATTCGCTGACAAATGCGGTGTATTGACAGCGTTTGATAGCTTATCTGCGGCAACGAACCGGAGAACTGTGGTTCTTAGGTCTTGAACGCTTTTCGGTGGCATGTACAGAAGGTGCTGTCGTAGTGCACCTGGCAAGAGGCCCTCTGTAAATCGTGCGCGTATTATTTCTTCCCGAATAGAGACGTCTAAGCTTGGGAAGGCTACTATTGCTGCTTGCTGCAAAGCGTGTAGGTATTCCATGGGTTCCTCACTCATTTTCTGGTGACGCGACAGAAACTGCATGGTCCCCAGCTGCGTGTCTACTGTTGACGAAAAGCATTCATCATGAACCTTCCAGTTTTGAGCAGATGAGTTGCTTGCGGTAAAACCATTGGCTATCGCCCTTTTTGCCGCTTCATCGTCTAAACACGATAGGAGGTAGTCAAAATGTTCGGTAACTGGAACCGTACGTAGATACGTCGTAATCCTGACCTTCCAAATAGCATAATCCGACAAGACTCCCAGTAGTGGTGGTTGGCGGATGATTGCACCGGTTGCTGGCTTGCTTGGAATGACCGGTGGTTCCTCATAGTTTTAATCGCGTTTTGACGTAAACACCTCCATCACCACTTGTAGCACGTTGTATTTCGACGTTTACTTGGGAGCAGGAGCGACCTGAAACAGCAACACAACAGTCAGGACAGACAAGTGCTTCTGAAGTGAGAACACGGTGTGCTGGTGCAACAGATATATTTGAAATTGAAAAACGCGGTTTTTAGTACAAAAGGGGAAAGTAGTTTTACTCGGTATTCTGCAGGTTCAGACCGCGTAGGGCTTGTTCTTCTTTCAGTGCATTCACTCTTTGTTGCCCTGCAATGAGAAATACAAACTTACATTATTAATGTTGCATGTAATGATTTTTATTAGCGTTACACTTCCTGCTTCCAGGTTTTCCACGGTGGTCTAGCTTCAATTGACTCATGAACTTAACTATAAAATTACTAAATCTCCACTAAAATCCCCTTGTGATATTGATCATATGTTTACTAGTGACTGGCTCCTTGAGGTAATTCCTGGAGTTCTAGTGAGAAGTCGTGGCCAATGGAGCTAATCCATATCAGGTAGAGACAGGTATCTACCTCAGTACATTGGAAGTTGGTCGCGCAAGTTTGTGGATTGATTGAGGTTAGACATTAACACCGTTGGATGCCAGCTCAGTGGTCTATCGGTTAAGGGCTCTGGCTCGAGACTGGTAGGTCCTGGGTTCGAATTTCGCGAGTGCGAGGATGCGCACTGCTGAGGAGTCCCATAATAGATCGAAACGGCCATCCAGTGCTTCCAGGTTTTCCATGGTGGTCTAGCTTCAATTGACTCCTGATCTTAACGACCAGATCGATTATTCTGTTTTCTTAATAATGTTGTATCCTTTAGTTGTGCAGTACTAGAGCAGGAATTTCTACTACTGATGTAAGTTGTCTGTTGATCCAAGAGCAGCTAGAACATCGTTCAAGAAAAATAACTATCTCTAACTGCCTTATTAAAAGTGATTAACCATCCATGTACGAAAATATACAGGCACTCTAATTTCTTTAATGGTCAGATACACATCATTCATGTAACAAACACGAGTTTAGTTGGCATTTAAAGCTAAATCAATATATTATCTGACAAACTCTCACTTTCTGGTGAAAGTTTACTTTGGTAGTTTGTCTAAATGATTCTGAAAAATTTAATATACGTCATGGGTCTGTACTAACAGTAACAACTAAGTCTAACAGTGAGCATGAAGAATTAGTAAAGTTGGACCCGAAGAGGAAATAATTACGAATATGAGTAGATGATATTATAGCAATACTCCTATGACTAATTTTTGTCAAGCCCTTTTATTAACTTATTTAACAGGAAATGTTATTCAGACAGTAACAGTTCGTCTATTTATTTGTATCATTATGATGGCTATCATGTCTGAATCGACGTGTACTCTTGATCACATGTGACAGCCTACGCGCATATCTCCCTGTAGCCTAAATGTTGCTTGATGAATCATTCTCTTTCTCATGTATATATGTGCTCGAATCTTATTAATAGCCTTTGCGTTGATTCGCCTTGATTCGATTTGACTATAAATTCACCTCTACATTGAATCGCACATACACATTAGCCTCTCTGCTCTGATTAGTTCGATGTGCATGTAGCTTTGTTATCTGTACTATCCTCTAATAAACTATAGTCGCCGATTCTTATTGGATTCTGAATTCAAACACCATTAGGATTTACATAATAACAGTTATCAAGTTGATTGATAAACAAAACCTGAGGAATTATCTCGAAGCCAAGCGACCACAATTTAGAACTACTTCATTTTAGCAAATTCAATTACAAAATTGTGATCAAAAGCCTATATAAAGTTTTACTTATCATTTGAAAAAAGGTTTCTGTTCGTATTACTCTGTGAATTGTAGTGACTAAAAGGTAAAATACAATAATTAATACTTAGTAGAAAAAATTATAGTTGGGAGAATTTCAACTGAGCAGGAATGTCTTTCAGTCAGTTAATCATTGTGGTTACACGATTATAAACATTACAAAGTCGATAGATGTCATTTATATAGTGTAGGTAGGTTTTCGAAATAATTTAGGAAGTAATCCAAGAGTAGTTACAAAAATTCGAAAGGTAGCTAACAGCATATATACAATAATCAGCGATAACTTTGAAAAATTCTATCAGATGCCAGGTGTGGTTAAATAAAAAGAACCGTAAAACTTGAAACAGTGATAAGTAGTATTTGTAAGTCTACCTAGCCTATTAGAAGGTCAAACTATGATGGGTTTACGGATTCGATCTAACAAGATGAATATCGATAGTTCTTGTTTGTGCAGTAGACATACAACTAAACCATATAACAGACTGAATCACGTACTGCAAATAGTAAGTGTACATGTACAAAAACCTTTACATGGTTTTGGTACGCCCGCGCAGTTATTATTATTATTATTTACAACTATTTAAATAAAGGAAATTTTTCTTCGTTTTTAGGCAAGCGATTCATCCTCTCTTAGAAAGTCGAGCATGTCATCAAGCAATTCGTTTTGGAAGTAAACTTAACAAAAAACAAATGGAGAAACTTATCGTTGAACTAGCAAGATGTCGTATACCTTTCCAATGCGCACATGGACGTCCAACATGTACTTTAATTAAAATGATCGATAAAGAATATGATTAAATTTTACATATAAAAATGTCCATATTACTAAGAAGTAAATATTTCATAATAAAATGTATACAGTACTAGAATTGTCTAAGTTTAATCTGTACACCCTAATCTGAAGACAATAGTAAGGTCGGTGTTTATACTTTTTGTTAAAGCAAATCATAAAAAATAATCTATGAAAATAAAACAATATTGCATGTCAAACAATTTGTAAAAGAATATGGTTTAAGGAGAAAAATACAATGTTTGATATTCCTGAAGAACATCGTTATTTGAAACATTACGAAACATTTTCAGAGGATGCCATTTTAAATGTTCTGCAAAATTTAATCCAACCGACAGGAGTGAATATTGCAGTTATTCTAAGCCTTTCTGAATTTGAAGGGGAGGCTTCCACGCTTGTAACCATAGCATTAGAATAAATCCATCTATAAAATCAAAATTCACTTTTTGGAATTTCATACTTGTTAGTGGTTGACATTAAAGACAGAAATACAATTTTAAAAAACCGCTATCGAAAATACCATCAAATGCTTTACAGCATTGTACTAAATATACTACGTCTAAGATTATTTTTGCGTAATTTATAAACTACTCATTTCGACTTACTGAAATAAATGAGGATTATTAAAGTGCTTATGCGTTAAAAACATCTGATCACCTAACAATTAAGATACTAAATATAGTTAGTTTGATTTATTCTCAGTTTCAATAAATTCACTCCAACTTAAATTGAGGGTTCTTCGTTATATCTAAACAAATATACTACTGAACAGAATGATGACCATTAATGACAAGAACGACTTCAGTTATTAATATTTTGATAAGCAGAATTCATTATAAACTGCATTTTTGTGTAAGACAGTTGTCATGGTCCAAATTATTTTCTGAAGACTTTGATAGTCTAGTATATAGACAAGATGATAAGATTTCTGCTCAAAAAACTCCACCTTAAATGTTTCTCTTGAACAGAACTCATTTCGTACTGCTATGCCATAACCTGTTGTAACATGACCTGAGAGATGATAGCGAATTTAGTAGTCGCAGGGCTAACCCTAGGAGTCAAACATTTTATCTGTTTTGGGAGGTAAGAATGGGAGATTTGTTAATGGCAATTGATTACTGATGTATATAATACACCTTTCCTAACGATTGACCAATGTTGAGGTCAAGTACGGAGTTAAAAATATATGTTACGTCAAAGACCTACTTAAATAGGACACTTATCAGATAAGTGGAAGATTTCAGGCAGAAAAAACTGGGGATAGTATCAACGAAACAAGGTATCAACTCAAGTTTATGGCCATAATCCGACTAATAATCACCTTATACATCTTAGATATTTTTGCTGATAACGTTCACGTTAGTTAAATAATCACATCCACCAACCAGATTATGAAAAATCCTACCGATTAAACTCGATGCACATGACCGGACTTCATATTTGAAATGACCAATATCATTTGATAATAGAACGACTATTATGCAAGCATATATATAGGAAAACTAAAATTCTTAAGTGTTTTAAGCAATTTCCACCTCTAATAACAAACAAAGATGTTTCTATAAATTATTTGTATGTTTTTCTTATCTGACATTTCATAAGACTTGTCGACTATAATAATTCTGTAAATCTGACAGTTACTATGGGTGAAACAGATGTTAAAACTACTATAATAGAGTTACCAATACTCACTGAAAACTAGGACCTCCTTGGCGAACATCTAACGTGCGTGAAAACCATCCAAGACGTTTCATTATAGCTAGTCGAACTTTTGAAGTCAACTCTTCCATACCTGTCCCATTTTTAGCAGATATTAATGCATCGAATCCAGCGTACACATCATTTGATTCACTAAAAAGTCCATACAAAAAAAAACAATAAAATAACTTAATAAGTACACGAAATATAATGTTTAGGATAATGATTATAGTAGAATATGTATCAGCTACTTAATTCCTACCATTTTATATATGGTGATTAATTTTAGTCAACTAAGTGTTTACCAAAACGATTTCTAATATACTTTAAACTACTGTCAGTAACTGTTAGTTTTAATTCTGATATCTGGATACCACAGCCTCCACTTTCCTTTTGGCCACAGCTACCGCAAAAACATCTTGAGAAGATTTATCAGTAGAAACAAAAAAGATTGATTTAAGCAACCAACACAAGTGAATGAACACATATAAAGAATGGCCTTAAAAATAGGGCAAAACCTGATATGGTAAAGGAGCTAACAGTCAATTACAAAAATCTTTAAACATGATAAACTAAAGGATAACTTCCATAGGGAACTTGGTGTGCAATGTAGAGATTCAAATCTCTAAAATAAAAGTAACAAAATAATTAGTAGGTGATTTCTAGGGGAATTAACACATTCCGCCCTCCATCAACAATTCCTGAGTGAACTGAACATAAAAGATAGCCGATATTTCATGTCATAACGAATGATGATTCATTTACACACCATTGACGGGTCCAATCAGTCACTTAAGTCGAATGCAACGTAGAACCTAGTACATCTGTACACAGGTTCGGGTTTCCGTACTTCATTAGCACATCGGGATGAAATTGTTAGGCCAAATCCTAGAGTAGTAGAAGTGGTAACAGAAAAGATCAGACACTAAATGTATGCTTCGAGAAGATACAAATTGGTGAAACAAAAACATTATGAGGAATTTAGAAACTTAGTACGCCTTCGAATGACAGATATTGTCACAGAGCCTGAAGGTTCGTCGCACTGTTTTACCTTTTGGTTCACTTTCCTGGATTGAGAGTGAGTAATATTCGCATCTTTTTCCGAGATGGTCTCATTAACAGCCGGATTTTTAATACGCATTTGATTGATAAGTCCAAACAGTTGTATGCTATTACCTATCGCCGCTACCTTTTCCATCTCTTCTTCTTTCGCTACCTACCACTGCTCACAATCACTAAGTAGGCTTTTTATCACTTTAATTTGCTTCCGTTCTTCAAAATGTTTAGAACCAGATGGGATAAGCCTCCAAGCAAATATCAGTTATTTAGAGAATACACTTATCAGATGATGAAAGGAACAAGAAAAAGTCTGCATATTTAATACTGATATACATACAAATTCCCTCCTTTTTTAGCATTTACATGTCATTTCATATGTTCATATGCTTTTGATGACAAAGCGACTCTGAATAAATATGAGGCCATACAGGATCCCAAAAAGAAGTTTCCCCTATTCCGAACAACAACGTTTTGACATAATAGCAAAGTGTACTTTATCGTATACAACTTTTTATTCTAGACAAGATTGTACTGTTATATAACAATAAATAAATTGACCTTTTACTTTAATGATACTCTTATATTATTCTGGAATTAAGACATTACACATTGTCACAAAAGTCAACAAGAAAATGACCTTTTACTTTCCTTACATTTGATCTACTTTGTTACCGATTTTCAACACTTGAGGTGGTTCAAATGCATTGGAATCATTTGTATGTCCAGAGTTTGTCGACTTTGTTACAAGAACACCAATACTGCACAACAGCTCCTCTACATGATTCACTTGTAATTGCCATTCAGGTTGACTTACATCAACTACATGCAAAATTAGATCCTAAAATTTATGGATAATAGCATGAACAGCAAAACAAATATTGGCATTACATATTCATTGTTGAATATCAAATGATTTGAAGTGAAATTGGAATTATACGCTCCTTACCAGTAAAACTCAGTTTAATTTAAAGAAAATTTATCCCAATTAGAAACGGTTTTGGCGCCCGGGCAGTATTCCAGATCTCACACATATCGAATGATTTATGTGATGCATATGTAGTTGGTGCCTTCTTGTATCAATGTTCATGTGTTTAAATAAATAAATATATGGAATAGATAATAAGAAAGAGTTACAGTCATAAAACAATGTTATGAAGTGTTTAACTGGTTCACTTTCTCTTCAATAATACCCAATAGAACATACATAGAAGTTCTAGATGAAATCGAATTTACCATCCAAATATTCTATCGAAAGCTAACTTAATATATGTAGTGTGATAGATAGATTACCCGCTCATCAAGTGAATGTAGTAACATAAGGAGAACAAAAGTTACGAATAGGTAGATTTCATTGTACATTTTTTCATTTACATACTCCAAACATCAAATTTAAAAAATGGAGGTAAGAACAAACAGTTCGAATTTTGGTAAGAAGTTACATCTTCAAAAAGACTACAAGTCTAGTGGACGTTAACATACAGTAGTCTCTTCCAAACACGACAACAATTACCTACTTGACATAAATGTGTATGTGTATGCATCATAAGATTTGTCAGCTAGCACAATACAACAGATGAAAAACCCATAAGAATTTGAATATAAACTTGTATCACCCTTTCAAAAGGGGGTAATTTCCGGGATTCACGGTAAAATATTTATCATTTGAAGCTGATATATAAATACCATTATAGCGGTAAAAACTCCAACAAATGAGAACAACAAGCTAATCCGTAATTTGGTTGAGACATGAAATTATGTAATGAAATACAGACACAGAAAAAACTCACTGCATCTAAACATTCATCTAAAGTAGCTCGAAACGCAGCTAATAAATTAGTTGGAAGATCAGACATAAATCCTATCGTATCCAATAGTAACATTTGTATTCCAGGCAATCCTATGCTACTAGAACAACAACCATCGCTGACGTTCCCAGAAGACAACTGATTAGAAGTCATATTGTTCTCTTCTGTTTTATTTGGAAGTATAGGCAACCGACTTCGATGATGTGTAATATCCAAAGTGGCAAACACTTCTGGGGATGACGTAAGTTTGTCTGACTTGCTTAAATAACGTATAAGACTTGTTTTACCTATGGAAGAATGAAAATGAAGTGTAATATTCATTTAAAAGTATAAAATTCAAACGGTATATATTAGCGGGATATAAATTGTATTAAAGAATGTTCCGTGAAGGATTTTATAAGAGCAAACTGATGAGCTATTTCTTGGCCAATCAGAGCTAGCGGATACTTAGAGAAGACACTAGAATCTTCTCATGTAAAATTTTAAATAAAGTGACATTTTATCATTATGATTCTTCCTCTCATTCAACCTTGTTTATTTGGAATATAATTACGTTCAACTTTGTTATAATTTGGGGACTTTGTTGAGTGAAATAAAGTGTTCGAAGAATAAGAGTAGCTGGGTCGTTGTGATTAAAAAAAACTATAGGTGGGAACAATCTGTGCATATCTATCTACAACTAAACAAACGCTAATAATAGGTTATATATTTTCATGATTCAAAATGTAGTAGGTACTGGAAAAATAAAAATGCATGTCAACATAGTCAATCACATGGGAACTCTTACTGAAGCTAATAAAAATATTAGTACTTATTGTTTTGACTTGAGACGTTAACTGATATATCGTGCTAAATCCAGCAATCAGAATTCTGAGTACAGTCATTTTTATCCCACATCTACTATTGCATCTAAAGTCTAGCTCCCTCAACTTGACCAATTATACATCTGACCTCCACAGCTAAACTTGGACCAATGCAAACTAAGCAGCTCTTATTGATCCGTTATCCGCGAGCTTTTCTCTATCCCCTCCCCTTGAGTCCAAAAAGAAGTCAGCGACAGTCACTTATCTGGAAAATTCATTGACAAAAGTCAAGTAAAAAAAAGTTATCTTAGAGACACCACTAAAAATAAGAGTGAATTATGGATTTAACAAAATTTAGTTTTCAGCAGCATTTAAGCAAACCGACAGATTATAGTTAAAACTACTTTAGACTATGTAGTAAACTTATTTTTATACAACATACACCGATTCACAAAATCAGAATGAAAAGAATAAGAAAATCATAACCAGTTGACCGCTAATCACTTACAGTCCCAATAGACTAATTGAAAATACACTGAGTAACGATTAATCTAAAGCGGTACACCAACTTTGAAATCTGTTTTTTGTTTATCTGGATGATGACAAGATTGGCGGACACTTTGTCCGATATAGTGTCACATGGAGTCTGTACAATCTACCATATGGATGATATTCAGCCTGCCCTCTTGTGTCACTGTGTTTATTGCCTAGATATGATTGACAAGAGTTTGTTGCTTAATGAGCTACACTTTTGCTTAAAAAACGCGACAATATTGTTGTAATTTGTTTTATGTTTACCGAACTGGAGAAAATAGATACTTGAAGATGGACCTATAAAAATAAAACCAAATCTAAACTTATATATTGTACCAGCATTCGTATATCCCACAACTGCAACCAGAGGTAAATGATGTTTCTCCATATCTCGTCTATGATTACGCCTATGATGAATACGTTGTTTCGAAATTTTTTCCAATTGATTTAAAAGACTAGCTTCTGTTTGCTACAATGAAAATAAAATTGAAAAGGATTTTTGCAATCAAAAAAACATTTAAAATTAGTTGAAAATTAAATAAAAATAAGAGATCTGACGATACATGAGTGGCCTACAATCACTTACTTGTTAACTGGTATTTAATCATGTTTGGGTATGCAATCGACATTTTGTAGATGAGCACAATATTTTACTAGAGAAGAACGATTTATCCCCTTGACTAATAATTCCATTTCGTTTGATAACGGTTCATTCGGAGAATTTACGTCAATAATCCAATCTCGTGACCAGATATCTATCAGTCACGCTGTATTGCTAGATATCATTTATAGAACAATATTCCTATTTGTTTATTATTACAACCCCAACGAACGAGTCAGTATAACTCACCAAGAAAGGCCACGTCGTGTTGCGAGGTTTTCGATTCTGAAACTGACAAACAAGTTCTCTACTCGCGAGCCAAACTCGCTACTTGATATATATATATATATATATATATATATATATATATATATATATATATAAGCCATATTTTTTCTCAAACTCAGTGTATATTATTCCTTAGAAAATGAGGTGAGATGTTGACCAATGATCTATTTTACACGACTGATCTACAAGCTACGCAACAGCAAGTAATATTGAGAGACGTACCAGATAAAAGTGTTACTCTGTTACAATTTTGCTTTAAATGCATATTTTCTCGACCGATTCAATGTCTACAATGAGACAGTAATTCTATATACATTCTTTTTACCTACTTAGATGAATTGTTGTAGGGTTATACAAATAAAAATGATAAGAAACAAGCAAATGGTTTCAGTAAACAGAAACATGGTACAATGGATAAAGCTGGAATGCCGAAAATCGCCATCTACTAGTTTTGAGATGAGATTATATCAATATTTTGTATTTCGGCGAGACTATAATTTATGGACGAATCAATCAGATTTAAAATAACGAATCTTTGATTTTGGCGCGAAATTCATCCAACCATATGCCTAAATAACATTTTGGCATTAGGGCTGATATCCGTTCGTAATGAAAACCCTAACTTCCAACTCCAAATCCCGATTCTGATTTCTCATACTAATTTATAACCCTCTTTAGATCCTGGTAGGTAGGTGAGTTTTCCCAATTTCACTTTGGTGTCGCTCAAAGGTGGTCAATAATTATAGTCTCACCCATAATTTGATAAATACCTTTGAAAGACAAAAATAAGTAAAGGTAATATCAAAAAACTACGGAACTTAGAGTAGCCTAGTAATTAAGAACAGTATCGAAAATAAGTTTCGAGCATCTATGAAGAGGTTCTTATTGTTGTGTGGATTAAAAAATAACAGTTTTATTTATGGTATTGGGACTGGTGTGATTGGGAAGTTAATGTGCGGAGCAATCAAATTTCTCGACTGTGCTATTGACGATTTAGTAGCACATTTCTTATAGGACAAATGACACAATAACCTTCTCTTGACCAATGACTCAACAACCGTGAGCTAGAAACCAATATCAACATGTAACGACTGTTTGTCCAAAATGAAATCCCCCTATAGCTCAATATCCTGACATCACGGAGACAGCTAGTAGATAAGAATTCTATCATACAGTCCACTTATAACTGAAAACTCATGAAGTTATAGATTAAATACTTAACTGAGTAGCAACATACATAGGAAGTTACAATGTATATATGACTATGCCATAAGTGAATGAGAAATGAATAATAGGTCATCAATTTGTTAATAGTAAACTTATAAAAGAGAAAAAACCACATAACAGCAGTTCATGTGTCGACCGGGGAGCTTACCTACAATAATGGGAATATCAGGATATCATAATCCACATACGTTTAATAATGTTAGTAATTATAAACCGACCAAGAGTAAGATCATTAATCGATTGAACATGATAATCGTCCATCTTAATATTTGATCGAATACTGACAGATTTTGTAATTAATTATATAAAATTATACATATTTAAAGAGTAGTGTTTTTCACATAGCACATGGTTTTCTCAGTTGCACTCTAGCTTTTGTTCTCTTGACAGTTATGGATTGGGCCAACAATATTGAGGAAGCATAGGGCTGAGTAATTGTGTGAATTCAATAACTGAGGTTGCCCTTATGTTAACTATTTCGTTGATTTTTCAATTGATTAACAAAGATTTAGGCTACTGCAGACACATCTTATCAACGGAAAAAAATATGATCGCCTGCCTCAGAAATTCAAATGTTATACAAGGAAAAAGTTTCTCCAACTGATAAATACAGCTTTAAAACAAATTGATAAATAACTCTTACATTAAGTATTTGTATTAAACGTTCCTTTGTAGCGAAATCTGATCTATCGATCAAGCATTTAATCATATTAGGTGTTTCAAAAAATGCTGGAATACGAGCTCGAAGCAATCCGATTTCAGCTAACTTTGCTTGAAGTTTTGCTTCTGGAGTACGAGATCGAAGACTAAACAGTTGAACGACGAGGGTGTAACTGAAATTATAATTAACAACAAAAAAACAACTAAACAGCTCTTTTTCCAAAAAAGGAGATTATGTTTCATCGACCAAAAAGTACAGCACTACCCAGTTGAACGACAATAGATAAAGTCTATGTAAAGCTTGGGAGGAGGATTCCTGTCAATCATTAATAAACAACGAAAGAACTAGTTGAGATCTACACACTTAGCAACACACTTTACAACATAAGGACATTATCACGGTGAAAGTCAAAGTTGGGATAACAGTAGTAGCAACTTGAGTAACGAAAATCAAACCATACGATCACCCACATTATCTAACCATAAACTACGATTACCAAACACACCCTATCAGATATAGGAGTAATTCTAGTCAGTCTTAATGACACAGGCATCCACATTTTGCATTCCTTTAGATTTTGAGTTTTAAAATTAGCTGATACTTTTTAATCCACGACTTCATTGTTTTTCTCGAATGATAGTGTTTATGCCCAAGGTTTTCTGCTACCATTGAAACTGTTATAAATGCCACTTTGATGTACATATTGAAAATTTCAACTCGCTTGTTCATAGTCATATGAAGACGAATAATCTGGCAAATATGTGCATCTTTTTAAATTACCACAACGAAATAAAATAGTTAACATAAATCTCAGAGTAGGATGAGTAATAACAATATTGGTAGTGGGAAAAACGATTAGGCATAAGAAGGAAAAAAGAGGTTTAAGGAGATTTCAGGACTCCGATTCTAAGAGAAGACACAGACTGGATGTACCCAAACCATTGTGAACAGTTCTGAGATATTAACGAACGTCTCCAACAGCCGGTTATAATAGTTACGCGGACATTCATCAGGTAGTCTGCACCTACCTACAAGGCCCGGTCCAACAGTCAATGAATTCATGAATCGACCCCAGGTCTTGGTTTAACCTTAAAACATATTCATACACCAGCCATCATCGACAGTCGAGGTAGGTGGTAATTACTTATATTAAAACATGTCCCAACTATATCAGCCAATAAAAATTCACAACCTCATCAACCTATTTATTCTCTTTACTTAATTATTTATTTAATCACATATATATTGGTACAAAGGGCACCGGATACATATGCGCCACACAAAATAATGAGAGTGGGAGAAGGAAGAAGATGCGTATATATTGTAGTACCGTGCTTCGATAATAGTTCATTTCGATAACCGTTATTATACCAATCTTAACGGTGTATAAAATCAGAAGGCAAAAGGAAGCGGCAACTACATTTTTATTGATAATCGATGCAGACCAGAAAGCTGTCGGCACATGAGCAAGTGTAAGCGAGTGAATCAAAGATGATGCATAGTGGAGATTGGCGGGGAAGCCAACTCGAGAGCGAAGCGAAAACAATGCGTATTGGAGATGGCTGGGAAGCCAACTCGAGAGCGAGGCGAAAGATGATGTGTATTGGAGATGGCTGGGAAGCCAACTCGATTTAAGCAAGCGTTAATCAACATTTGTAGTCGGACAAAAATGAGTGACAGACATATGATGAATAAGATACGAAGTGTACACATATACGCTCATATAAAAGTATAGTCAAGGTTAATAAGCGAATGATTAACATGATCAAAAGATGACTCAATGTACAGGTGAATTGGCTTAGCCAGCAACTAGAATAAAGTATATGGGCTTAACATAACAACCGATACTACATAGCCCCCTTGTAGAAAATAGCACATTTATAAAAAAAATGTCTGTTTTCAAAAAATAACACTGAAGCGGTATGTGGATAACGTCAAAATGTGGGGAAAAATGGTACAATACCTGATAAATTACAGTGTCCAGTGGGGTGAGCGTATTAAACGAAAGTGTCATACTTATGTAAAAATGTACATGAAAGTTGTCAAGATGCGGACAAAAATTGAAATGCTAGAATGTGGTTATGAGTAAATTAGTAGGCGTACAAAAAATTTAACATGCATTTATGTCGTGACTGTCTACGTGATAAAATAACATGTTCGTATGAGCGATTCGAAATATCGTGAAAATAGAGTATAACAGTAATTGCTATGTAGTGCTGACTGAACATGAGTATAAAGAACAGTGAAATATGAATATGTTCTGATAAGCCGCAGTGGAGTATGTAGCGTCGATTTAGCGATCAGTAGGTTCGAATTTACATGCCCGGAGTTCATGTAGGATAAAAAATAACCCAGCCGTAGGATGATGACTGCATCAACGGTTGATATTCATTGCTGTACTGCTATCGATAATGATAATAAAATGCGAAGTCAGTGTGCGTTGTCGCTTGCGTTGAGTTATCGTCAAATATGTATTAGTAGAATGACCAGAGGAACAGGATAGTGACTGCGGAGACGAGATATGCGGAGTCGTATTCCTTTATGGTCATGCAGCCTATCGTGGTTTGTGTAGTCAGAGGGATATGCGCTCAACCTCATTTGTTGCGAAACCGTATTAAGGCATAATAAAAATACCAATACATATGATTATCGATGACGGCGAGTGAGACTGACTTGAGTGTGACGAACAAGAGTGTAACTTTGAGAGATTAGCTCTAAACTCTATGTTCTGGCGTACAGTGCAATGGAAATAAAATATTAATTGCAGTAATCGAATAGTGTTTATGGGTAACGGATGATGCAGCATTCAGTTATACATGTGAATGAATAGATAATGTGAACATAATCATTACAAATCGGCTGGTAATGCGGCGTGGAATACTTGATTTGTGTATAAACATTAAAGTATGGATCATCGTGAAACCAAAATTGCGGAAGTTCGGTTTCGGTTGTCGCTGGAAATGTAGGAAACGACGGTTGCTGCGTACCAATGAGATGAATGAACATTAGTTGCATCGAGAACATAAGTTCCTACCATCAGGAGTATGACTCCAAACTTATGTTTATGATAAAGTGTAATATTAGACCGAAAGTGACATTAAAAAAAAATTGGAACGAACTCACCTAAATCAGCAAAATTTTACGTCATTGGATAATAAAAATTATCCAGTGAGTTTTGAATATCATAACGTGTAATGTCCATATAATTATGATTTGTTCGATTAGTGATTCGACAGCGTAAATGTCATAGTTTAACGTTAATACGAACAAAAATAATAATTCCACGTTAGTTGATGATATGAAATTATTGTAATAATGAGCATATAGAGGTTATTCGAATCATAACAGAATGTGTCGTCGACGGCTCCATTTTTGGTTTGTGTTCGCTCGTTGCGGTCGCCAATTATGTAGTGAGTTCGTACGCAGAGGTTGTCGATTCTTGTCCGTGTTCGTTCGGCGAGGCCTCCAATTCTGTTGCGTCGTGCTCGTACGGCGAGGTATCCAATTCTGTTGCGTCGTGCTCGTACGGCGAGGTATCCAATTCTGTAGCGTCCTGCTCGTACGGCGAGGCCTCCAATTCTTTAGTGCCGCGATTCGTTAATCGTTCATTTCGATAACCGTTATTATACCAATCTTAACGGTGTATAAAATCAGAAGGCAAAAGGAAGCGGCAACTACATTTTTATTGATAATCGATGCAGACCAGAAAGCTGTCGGCACATGAGCAAGTGTAAGCGAGTGAATCAAAGATGATGCATAGTGGAGATTGGCGGGGAAGCCAACTCGAGAGCGAAGCGAAAACAATGCGTATTGGAGATGGCTGGGAAGCCAACTCGAGAGCGAGGCGAAAGATGATGTGTATTGGAGATGGCTGGGAAGCCAACTCGATTTAAGCAAGCGTTAATCAACATTTGTAGTCGGACAAAAATGAGTGACAGAGATATGATGAATAAGATACGAAGTGTACACATATACGCTCATATAAAAGTATAGTCAAGGTTAATAAGCGAATGATTAACATGATCAAAAGATGACTCAATGTACAGGTGAATTGGCTTAGCCAGCAACTAGAATAAAGTATATGGGCTTAACATAACAACCGATACTACAATATAATTGAAGGAAAAAAAGAAAAGGAGAAGAGTAATGATGGGGGGAACTGAATGTACAACCAGAAGAGCTCTCTCAGTTAGGGAAGTTATAGCCACTCTTTATGAAGAAAGTAGAAGAAGGTTACAGCAGGATCGCCACTGGCTTCTATTCTGAGCCATATCTGATAACATCTCTAGCCACTGTGCTGCACCATCTCTCGGACCCCAGCCAGAGCGTCGTGGAGGACCAACAGAAGCTAGCCCTTTGCAGCTCTCTTTCATGCCACGACACCATGTCATACACTGACCTCCTCTCCGCTTTTTCCAACCAGTCCCAGAGTCGGCAAATAATGCACGACGTGGAAGCCTCTGGGACGACATTCGTAAAACATGTCCAAGCCACCGAAGTCGGTGTTTCAAGATGGTGACACCAATCGAATTATCGTCTCTGCGCCCGAACACACGATGCCGAACCTCTGCATTACTAACATGGTGTTGCCACTGAATGTCAGCAATCCTTCGGAGACAACGATGATCGAACACAGAGAGACGTCTAACATCCTCAACTCGGAGAGGCTAGGCTTCACAAGCATAGAGCAAAACTGCTCTCACCGACGCGTTGTAGATCCGACCTTTTACAGCCAGACTAACATCACGAAGGTGCCAAAGATGGCCCAGACTGGCATAAGTCGCTCTGGCTTTCATTATACGTGCATCAATCTCATCACTCACGCCACCACCAGCACTTATGTAGCTACCTAGATGCAGAGGGAGGACGCCAGGTAGCACACCGGCGATGACTGTGCCGGAAGTTAGTGCTGGCCAGAAACAGGTTGTGGTCTGTGCACAGTTGCAGCAAACGGTCCCCGTTATCTGTCCTGCGACCAACAAGTCCCCATCGGCCACCTAAACGACTCTCTTCTGTGCCTAGACGCCCGACCTGTGCATTCAAGTCTCCGGCTAGTACTACAATATCTGTAGAACGCGCTTCCTGGAGAAGAAGCGTTAACTGGTGGTAAAACTCATCCTTGATTGCATCCGGGCTGCAATCTGTCGGGGCATAGGCGGAGATGACGAAAAGACACCGTTTCTCTCGCCAGTTTCTTCTCACTTTGATGGAACTTTCTAATCTAACAGCACATAACCGACTGTTAATGGGGATCCAATCGATGAGTGCTGCCTCAGCTCTAGCGTTTAGTGCGACACCAACACCAGCAAGACCAGACGAAGATGCCACAGGGTCCCCGGATAAGCGCACGTGGAACAAGCTTTTCGAGGCGACAGATGGAGAGCGGATTTGTAGTACTTCACTAGAGTCTTGAATACGGGTCTCGGATAGACAACAAACGTCAACATTAAGACCTTCCAAAGACATAGCCAGCCCTATCTGTTGTCTGATCTGCATTAGTGTGCGAACGTTGAAGGAAGCCAGCTTGAACGGCGTACGTGGTTTCAGAAAGACTGCTTCAGTATTCATAATCGGTGGAAGCATTCACTTTCAACCAGACAGTGACTGGAGATCGTTTAGATAGGACGGATTTTCCACCAAGAGCGAGCTGCTGCATAAGTTGAAAAGTAAGGTTACACAAATTGGGGATAAAAGGGGGTGAATTAGCGATATGGTAAATAATAATAATAATAGTAATAATGCAAATTGAATTGTTTCTTGTATGAATGAGAATATAATTGTCAGCTGAATGTTCCATTTCATTTATTTGCGAGAGGGCTGTGATACTGCCCGGGTGCCTAAACCGAAGCAGGTGGTTTTCTTAGGGGCCACACCCCGAGCCTTTGACCTAGAGGTCTAATCCACAAGGCAGTGGAGCATTGTGAGGAGATGCAGTCCCATGGTAGCCGGTCACCAACAGTTGGTTCATACGCCACTCGTTCCTTCAGGATACTGGAGCCCATGTGCACCATTGGTTTGGAATCAGGGTTTTCCAACTCCCCTAGGTGGACCCTCCGTGTCCACCAACCCGGTTAAAGCACCGGACATTCGCTTTTCGTCCTCTCACTTTCGTAAGCAACACCCCTGCCACGAGAAGACAGTGAGTAGGACTTCCCTGGCAGAGGCTATATATTCGCGTGGCCATGTGAGAGCATTTCGAGAGGGAGAGCAGACTCTCCCCACTCTCGATCGTATCAGGGCATTTGGTGACCTTAACTTAATCGAACTTTACTTAATACTCTGAGTCCAACCTCAGAACTGCTTATTCGGTGGTCCCAATATATGCGAGCGATATTTTGAAGATAACTATGAATGAATATTAGTTTTCCATGAATATTCTCTATTTTTAAAGGACACTTTTCATAGCCATAAAATAGAGCAGAGCGAAGTGCTACATAGTATACTCGTTATTTAATTGGTAGATCAAGTTGGGGAAAGCCAATCGAACTTTCTGAATTCGTGCAAAGATTTTGTCAAACACTAATCCATCAGGGCTGATGAGACCTCCAAAACAAGTGAAGTGGTCGACGAGCTCCACTAATTCACCCCTATTACTAGATAAGGTGTTAACGCAAACTGGTTGCATTTAGGTGAAGAAAATCTCATTCTAAACCAATGTATCGTTGTTCAAGGCGTCTTCATTAAATAGAACTATGTCATTTTTTCATTATAAGTCAGCAAGTGAATCTTTCAGAAGATCGATTCCTGAAAGGTTAGACGACAAGAGCGTTATCGAGAAAGGAATATCTACAACAAGGCTGAATAAAATAGGGAAAGCGGAAAACGAAAAAAAAACAGTTTTAAGTTGGCAAGTCATCTAGCTACACTGATATGGCGCGATAACTTGAACTGATGCAGATATGTACCAGGTTTCACGTTGCTTGTGGCTTGACTGACTAACTAACCAGGATTTCTATGGGTTATTTAAATTATATGCTATGATTATATCACTCTATTACGTTTAAAAACTGATTACGCTACCAGGACTAGAGGAAACAAAATTATTACATGAAACAAAGATATAGAATAATAAACATGTGACTAGGCCACTCGATATACAACCAATGAAATTTCAAATCCACTAAAACCACTTAAGTTTGGGCAACCCAGTAGTACATCACAAACCTTCAAATACAAGCACTATAGCTTAAAATTGGGTATATAAACCTGTACTGGTTAACAAAATCCACAATATTCGAAAAAAGTTACAACGATACATTAGTGTTTATCCGACATGCTCTGAACTATGCGATTAAATTGTCAATTTCTGTATTGTTTTTTACGCTATGATTATGAAGTTTGTACTTCTGTGCACAATTCAGGTCAATAATTAATGGTGTGTTCTGACCACAATGAGGCTTCTATTCCGTTTCTTTTTTTTCGTTGTTTACAGCGAAACAGCTATCCAGTGCTCACTAGTTTCTAATGCTTATTCAGATAATGTCACTTGGTGAAGGAAACTATTTCTAAACTAGACTGATTTTCCACAAACAAACAAAATAATTAAGCTAGATCACACACAGGAAACATATGAATATTAAACAATAGGTATATCGGTTTAAGTTGTTCATTGATCAAAATTAAAATGAAAGAAAAAAATCGATAGAGATCTCCCCACAGTAACAAGTCAAAAACCCAACCATTCCATGATTAATTTGCAATATGTTTAGAATAAAACTAACCGATCATAAACAGGTATTAGCCAGGCCTGTTGCATAAGTGCCAGTTGTAGTGTCGTTAAACGAGGCCAATTTACGAGGACTGCTGTTGCTCGATTTTTGACGGTATGAGCAGAGAATGTGTTATTTTCTTCGTTAGGAAGTGTATCAGCAGTCTGAACAGACTGTTTCCCATCACGATAAGCAATTACAGAATCTGATACATTTTGCCATATACCTTTACTAAAAAACGGTCCTCTATTAGTGTTGGCGGCTTTTATATTGCAAAATATCTAGAAATATAATTTAAGAAATTAAAGACAATATCACCACCTATCCAACACTTCTCAAACTAACAAAGACAATTTCCCACTCCCGGATAAACTAGCAAAGCAAATTAGCATTCATAAATAAATTCAACCAGAGGTGTGATAACGCATAAAGATAGTTTACATCGCAAACTGATAGAAATTAGCGAACCAATGGGAACCTAGAAGCACCAGATAGGTACTTGGTTTTGGTTTCAGTGTTCTCAGAAGTTGCTTAGTCACAACACATATGATAAAACCTGGAAGAACATTATGTTTTGCGGTGAGCATGACATTTTTAGATAGATAAGTAGAAACACAAGTGTTCAGTTTTTCAACTTCAGTCATATCAGAGTAATGAACAGCACATGACAGGAATCATTTATCCAAACTGGATATATTATTTACAAATCTCTATGCCTTGCCTGATAGTTACATGTTTATAAACTTGCTATGACCGGATAAACATTAAGTAATGTCGAATTTCCGGAACGGTCCTGCCTGAAGTCATTCGTATTTTTGGTTGTATAATTACTAAATGGTTGAACTATTGTATTTTTATATTCTCCAACTTGCACGCTTTCGAGTGGTGTATAAACTCTTATTGTATGTTGTACCTTTTTCAAGCTACTGTTGCTTATTTACGGACCTATTACTCAGTCCTCTCCCATTTATGGTATAGTTATGCCGACATTGTAATTCTTTAATTATATTGACGCGTGGTCAGGATTTTACGCTATATTACTGTGTGAGTGACTCATAAATTCAACTGTATAATTCGGAGCTATCTGCTTGTTGCATTGCGTTTTATTCTGGCTATCGGGTAAAAGAGAGTGGTAATCTACAACTCGTGCCAATAATCGTTTAGTGTTACTGTAGTTTGTTATCTCATAATTGCCGTGTCATTGGTTAGCCATCGATCGACACTAGATAGACAGTCTAGGCGAACTAATCAATACTCGAACTAGAGCGATATAACTGCTTTTCTGTATAACGATTCGACTAAACGGGCTTCAAAAATAACCAACAAGAAATTTCGTTCATTTTTTTTACTGTCATATCAAAAAGACGAGAAATCCTGACATCCATCCTCGTGATTTGAAAAATGAAAATTATTGTGCTAGCTATAAAAAATTCTTAGGCTATTCTACTCTACTCTCTAACCGCACATGACACTGGGGTGATTACAGTAGATTGTTAGTTTAGCTCAATTAATAAAAAAATTTGGACAGGTCTAAGAAAAAAATGAACGTCTAAATGATGGAGCTTCTGTTTCATCGTAACTTTGATTAATCATTTTGGTTTATTTATAAGGAAAAAATTTAGTGAAACAACTTCGATGACAATCCTATTTATTCACAAGATCTAAGAGATTTACTGAATTTGTTCCCGATTGTCTTTTTTACTAATTAAAGGTTAATAAACTGGAAAGTTTTATTTGAAGGTTAATGGTACTATCACCTACCCCCCAGCTGACATACTACATACCTCTGTTTTCTCAAAAACTTTGAATAATTAATTAGCGACTGGGAAACACTCAGTGGGAACACAAATGATTTAGATAGTTTGCATAAGAAAGGATAACTTCACATATTTTTTGGAGATAGTGAAATAAAATCAGATCGAATACAACTGATTTTTCATGTTGTAACATTAATATCGTAACGAAGTTGTCGAACGCCATCATTTGGACTGATCACTAGGAAGCCCAGCTATTTGTCATTACATTAGATGAATTTATTAAATTATTCATCTTGATAACCAAACAGTTGCTTTAGGACATTGAGTTTAATTAAAGAGGATATTGGAGGACTATTTTTAATAATCAGTCCATAAAGTCACTTTTGGTTTGAGCCAAGTTGATAGATGCAGACTACTTGGTTGGAGTTGGTGCGACTATCGTAACCAATGGTTAAGGAGACTGGGTGACATGGCTTAGAATCGATAATAGTGTAGGTGTGTACACTCTCTGTCTTCCTTTAAACCGTGAGCTTAAAATTAATTTATACCTGTATTCCTACGAAACAATCCTTTCTCCTTGTATTATATCCTCATATCCAATCTTTTATACATTACTACCATTAAAGTAACAACTACGAATTTAGCGATCATCTTGTTGTGCTAATGAGGTGTGGCAACTTGAACCGATACATATATGTGCCTGGTCCTACGTTGTAGCTGACTGACTGACTATTGAATCTTACATTTTTTATGATACTTAAATCTCTCAAAGTTTGGTTTAAGATGTAATATTTGTAGTCAAATTGAGAATTCATTGGGATAATTGCTGTGAAATCTGCTACAAGAAAATTCAACGATCCAATGATATTGAATTAAATTTGCCAAGTGAAAGAAAACATGAACTATCAAATCAATATTATTTCTATTAAATATAAACTAGCATTAATTTCCCATCATTGGGTGAATCACAAAAGTAATAGAAATAGAATGGAATATGAATTTGACTGAAATATAAACAAAGGACACAATTTTCTCAGTAGATACAAATGAATTCTAGCCAACACATAACGATGTCTAGTTGAATTTTGCTGGTTTCTGCAGCTACACAGCAATCGCCTGTTGTTTGAGGCTAGACTAGCAGTTAATTGAGAAATGTGTTATGTGTTGTAAACGCTTATGTTAGTGGGATCAGAGATAAACAACCTAGTCACCACATAATAATATCATTATTATATAACTCATTTACCAAAAGTACAGCCATAATGGTTCTGTTCTACAAAATCCATATATCGTCATGACGCTCAGACCATAAGAAAATGTGTTAGTTCTAGAGAAGTACTACAGTTATCAACGCAATGTTTACCATGTAAGGCAATATAATTGACTTAGTGAGTCATTTGCAGTTTTACAGTTTCGAGGTATGTGCTTAGAAGTGAATGGTTTCATCTATGAGACTAATGAAAGGATTAACCAATTCGTTAACATCTATATACAAATTACAAGGGAAGGTAATTTATCATTATATTAGTTTTCAAGAGAACCAGGCATTAGTTGGGCTCTCTACAACCTGAGCAGAACAGTTCCAACTTGCAGGACAACCACACAGGTACCAAGAACTCGAATCAATGAATCATACTACACTTATGTATTACTTCCGATAAATGATCCCGTTAATCAGTTATGCGCAGCATAAACAGGACAAATCTAATATATTTCGATTACACAACTGCTAAACCTATCATTATAAGCAATAGAGATATGAATTACATACTAATGAAACAGGCTTTTAAGAACGCAGAAAGGAATTACCGACATCAATGACGTCAGTTACCCAACAAATCAGTCTGAGTATGAGAAGCTAGTAAAATCTGAGGAGATATGCTGAACCCTTCATAGTGTCATTAGTAAACACTCGGTTGTTACATAAGAAACCCTTAGTTCTTTACATCAATATAACTTATGCTATGTGCTTTAGGGTTCTTACATACAGCTGAATGTTCAGAGCCAGCGATTCACAAATTAACACACTAATATCTTGTATATATGCCTAGAAGACAACATATATTCATGATCATTGGTTCCACATACACAGTTAACACATTAAGTACTCTTATAAGTAGTTTGAAGAATCTTCTCTGCAGATGTAGAATACCAGAACAAATAATTATCTCAGAGACTAAATTCATGAAACTTTAAATAATGCTAAAACAGCCTATTGAAGATGAATATGAGGAGTAAGGAATAAGCAACGAGCTTGAATATGATCAGATGAGATTTATTGATTCAATAATTTTTTAATCGACACGAAGAGGTATGCTACACAGCAACCTGTTTACATCGCAGGAAAATTCTAATTATTTGATGTTGATGAACTTTTTATTAGAGGATATATTAAAAATTAAAACGAATAACATTAGTAATGCAATATTCAACCTACAAAATCTATGATTAATGCTAGGCTTTAATGAACCAATAATTACACACTTACCACACCAACGGTAGTCCAAAATCCTAATGAATCTACAAGAGCGATAGCTTCGTCTACATTGGGATCATTTTTAGGTAAATACGGAAACTTGTTGTTGATCCTCTTGTAAAATGCACCTTTTATATCTTTAATGTAAACATTAAACAAGTTGATGAGTTCCTGTTAATGAATAATATTTAAAAACTACTAAATGGACAATTAATTTGTATTTGTTTAAAACTTTATAATATTGTGGTCATTTATAACTTGCTACGATAACAAATTGCGATACCTAACACTTGTCCAATAAGCATCAGTTTTTCAGAACTATGAATTTCCTGTTTCGATACTTTTGTGATTCACCAAGTCTTAATGACCTACGAACCTTAGATTGATTGTATTTACGTTTTGTATACATTCAGAGAGCTGTTAGTGGTGGACAGACTACGATGAAGGTACATTCAACTAATAAGCCCGAAACAAGATAGAACTTTAGTCTCGTGTATGACTGATTGACATAGATTTCGTTGAAAGCCACTGCCAAAAATATAATCGAGATGTAAGTAAAAGTAACATCGATTTATCTGCTTAAAGAACACATATGCCGACAGGTTGATCAACTCAATTCTGAAATTTTTAAATAATTTGGAAATTCTTAAATCCTCATAAAGTAATAACCTTAATTTAAGGACTCTATAACAACCTATAAGATGATGTTGCAATGCTTTGATATCTTTCTCCATAAGCATTTTTGCCGCGTTCCCGAATTAAGAAACAGAATATCTAATAATAAAATTTCCTTTCCAGTAGCTAAAGTCGGATCAAATTTCTAAACTTGACATATAGCTTATTATTGAAATAATCTCAGAATATTATGCAAGGACAACTTATTTTTCCTTATCATAACTTTCATTTCTTCTATCTCAATTATTTACCAATTCCTGAAATTTTTTGTCAGACGAAATCAAACTTAAGCCACGTTGGTACTTTACCTTCTCATTGTTTAACTGGACAGCGATAAAAAAAATTAATGAAAGTTCAGTTCATGAAGTCAGTGACTGTTGATCTGAGACATGTAGGTTATATGTAGACCACTTGGGTGTGATCTGTGTGCCAACCCCGATTAGTGGTTGAAGGCGCTGTGTGACATGGCTCAGAATCGATCACAACAGCATAGGTGTATTGGTGCAGATGAATTCACTCTTTGTTGTCCTCTCAATATTGAATTCCAGCATCCCTGCAAAGATACCTCTCCATCCCATATTTTCGAATCATATATCAAATATCAAGTCTTTTTCGTTGTCGTTGCCAGTACATTTTGATCTATTTTACAATGTCTTGTTATATTCATTTCGTTGTATTATTGTGGTATGACAATTTATATCAATGCACATCTGTGAGGCTTTATGTAGATACTGACTGAATTAGCACATATAGACTGGACCTCAAAATAACACACTTCACTCATAAATTATTACGACTACAATAAATATATGATATTTCGTGAACGTAGTTCACTTTATAATCTTAAAGAGAACAAAAACACAGAATTGGGCAGGACAGTATGAGTTCATTGTATTTCGTTAGGTTTTCATCAGCTTTTTACAACGTATGGTATCTTAAGACAAGAATTATTGTAAAGTTTACATACTCATAACAGTGAAATTGGATATGTACAATCATGGTCGAGTAATGGGATTGAAGACATAAAGTGCTATAAATAAATATAACAAGTGAGAGATTCTAGGTCATCGGACATTATGACAAGAGCATTTAAGAACACCATGAGTTGAGGTCAGTCAGTCAAAATAAAATTATGAATTCGAAAAGAATAATGCGATCAAAATAAGAGACAAAATTTAAACAAAGAAAAGGCATGCAACTTACGTGGTTGAATAATCACAATATTATGCCCATTTTCGGGTAGAAGGTATGATTTCTTCAGCAACTCATCGTACACTTTATTTGAATCCGCATCTACCAAACTTGAACCTAGATAATGAACATGATTAATAATAGAATAAGTTGTATTCCCATAAAATATCATTATGAAAGACGGCTAACACATAACATTATAAGCTTTTAAGAAATTAATGAACTGGATCATTCATTGAATACTGTAATTGAATAATAGAGTCAGAAAAGACTATTCGTCAGCAAAGTGAGCGTTGTTAAACTGTAGAAAAAGCATGGATGGTTGTAGTGTGTATATATCACAATGAGGCTAAAATAGTTGTAAGAAAACTTCAAAACACTAATGACTTAGCGATTTAAAAATTCCTATAGAATATTTAAAAACAAAGAGCATTAGCATGAACGATTGTTTTCGATAACTTCTCCATTAGGCTCTGCAATTATAAATCCAAAACTTTCATTTTTTTAAAACAGGCAAAACATTAAAGCCAAATTGACCTATGTTACAAACTGAAAATGGAAAAAACGCCGATTGATTTGTAAATAGTAAAAACTACTGACAAAACAAAATAACGTCATTGATAATGTGAAGAAAATATCATAGATAAAAGGTGGGAAAAATCAAGTCACTATTAAGGTGATGAGTTTTAATCAATAAGATAAAATCGTATGCAAAAATAGTTAATACAATACCGGAATCGTTGTGTTGTACTTGTAATAATATTAATAGTAATAATAGTGTAATGGCAGTAGTAGTAATAATAATGATAGCAATAACATCATTAGCAATAATTAATGATGTTATTGCTATTAATTATAATTATATATATCTGGTGCCCCCTTGTACCAGTATTTGTGTTCAAATTAGTTAATTAATTAACAATAATCATCAATGAGTAATAACTCATCCCAGCTGAGTTTACAGAAGAGATAAAACACTGCTGTAGCAATGTCATGCTCTAAAAAGTCAAGTAATATGATAATAGTAACAAATTAATTGAACGTTTGAAGTAAGAAACAAGAAGTACAATTTCTGAGCTACTTGCTTTCGAAATAATCAAGAGAGAGCACCCTTTATTATGAGAGTTTAGCACAATTAAGCAGTAGGTCATCGTCCTCGAAAATAAACGAAAAACATGATATCAGTTTATTAGCCTAAGAATTTGTGTTAAAATGTTTTGCAACTGAAGGAATATATATTGAGCATATACAAAAAAAAAATAATTTGAAAGCCACTTGAATGTATAAAAGTAATTTTTGTGAAGATTACAAAAAATAGATGATGCAGGACGAAAGAATCATGGAAGAATGTATATAATCACCCCGATGAAAAATGTCAATACAGTGAAGATGAGATATAAGAGGGCACCAAGAAACGCGCCATACAGAGTGAGGGTAGTGTTGCAGAAAAATGAAGAAAGAAAAAACACAAAAAATGAAGGATGAAGCAACGGCATGCAACAAACAATACAGTTCGAGTAAGACATTCTGATCAGCAATTTGCACCCCTATCTTGATGAAGAATTAAAGACGGAAGAGTTGTTACTGGATTTTAATTTCAATCATGTCCAGTGACATTTCAAACCACTAAACTGCACGAACTCTGGAGTCTCATTTAGGAAAATATAAAGAAATGTCTGGTGTAAACCTGGAACGTTTATCACCCGAACTCCAAGACGTCATTTTTTGTTATACGGAGATAAATCTTTTATCCTACAACAGCATCACCAGCCCTATTTCGGACACATAAACATCTCGGCTATTCTTAATGGTTCGTCACAGTGTTAATGCACGGTTTTGCCATTCTTGCAAGGGTGTTATGAAGCTAAACCTTGCATTCTGCATTTCTACTTGTTTTGCATTTTTCTTCTTATATGAAACAAATACTTTCTCCCCTCAACTACGTTCATTTATTTAAAACACAAATAAGCACCTAAATCAATTTCCATCACACGAATAAGGAAATGGGGTCGTGAAGAGATATGGGAGAGATAAGAAATATGATCAGAACAAGTAATCAAATAAAGAATAGGTAAATGATAATATTTCATAATAGCAGACAGTCTAATAAGGAAAATACAGTCAGGAATACTTCCACTCAGAGTTTCGCTCATTATTATGAATATAAAAGAGAACTACAGCATTATCGCTACAGGCTACTATTCCGAAACTCCTCTAATAATATATCAATCAAGAAACGCTGGTATCTAAAGTAAAAATAGAAAATCACGTGAGAGTATAATTTATGGACGACCTTTGAGTGACACTAAACTGACTTTGAGAGTGTCCGCCCAATAACTAGGACCAAGTGAGGGTTATAAACCAGTGTGGGGAATTAGAGCTATGATTTACAGTTGGTGGTTAATGTTAGGAATTAGATTTAGGGTTTTCATCACGAACCGACATCAGCTATAATTCCGAAACTCTATTTAGCCAAGTGGATGAGTGGATTTTGCGTCAGAATCCGAGATCTGTCATCTAATACCTGGTTGGTCCGTCCATAAATTATGGTCTCGCGGAAAATCATTTTCAATAGATTATTTATGTATTACTTACATCTTCTGTCAGGAAAGTATCGAAATAAACGTCCAACATTCCGAAACATTTTACAAACCACCAGGTGATTATTAGTAGCACTAAAATTTACATAGTTTGTATCGTCAAGGAAGATATGACCGTGTCACATCGATGACCCACACTAAAGCAACCAATCTTAAAATAGCGCCTCCTAGGTTTGCTCAAAAAATGATGACTAAATAAAAACTCCCTATAGTTATCCTCTGAAACACTGAAGATTGTTAAAAATGTCGGTAAAATAATACTGAAGCTGTAACTTAGCGCGTAATACCAGCCAATCCTAAAATAATATAAATTACATCAAGTTGACTTCATACTGAGTTACTACCTATAGTCGATTGGTAGATACTTTTATGTCTGCATAATTGTACCACTACACATTGTAGCTATTGAGCCCTTAGATTCCATGTGCAACATGGTGACCATAAGGAAAGGAAAATGAATAACAGTGACTTAAGTGGAGTTTCGTTTCCTGAGTTGTGTAGCAGCAGTGAAATATCACTAAGCCCTAGCCAATTCATCCGGGAGTAGGGTCACTGAATATCGAACAGATCATCGATCCCTGTTAAGGCCAAGGACAACAAAACGCTCATCAATTAATCATACTCCATGGACTGGCTCATGCGGTGGTGGTCTCATTAAAATCTCTGTACTCATTCTTACTAATATGTTTACGTTATCACGCTCTTTGTGTTATACAATCTTCAAAGCAGACGTAATACTGTAACACGTCGAATGGGGTTGTAGCTGTAAATAATTCCCCAAAATCAATAGTTCATTAAGTGTTCGACATTGGATGCTGACCACGTTGTTTAAGTGGACTTGTTTAGCTGAAGGTTTTCGGTCATGCATCCGCACCAGATCACGTTTCAACTCGGCGTGGGACACAGCTCCTACGTTTCATTAGCCAGCTTATAGAAAAGGTCCTCGATATATTGGTAACGAATCAAATATACCTTTCCTGCCTCTTCTCGTCTGACTTCTGATTTCTATCTGACTGGGAACGATCGAATATAGAAGGTGCTACTGGTAGCTAGTTGTAAAACTAGAACATCTGTTGCATCATCAGGGTAATCCAAGTTAGATGCTGACCGCGAGGTGTGAATTCGAAGTTAGCTTGTTCGTTACACCGTTCTTGTCTAACTCTAGTAGGCCTCCAATCATCCGACATAGATCATCAACGTTGATGGTCTACAGTTGGATCGTGGGGCTTCCATTGTTCTTCTGGACATCATAAGCAGCACAAACTTCAGGTAGCACTGAAGTGTTCGACTTCCCCCACATGTAACTCACAGTTTGTCCTGTCGACCTCAATCTTGATTGGTTAGTGTTGACCTTTATCTTATCATTATTTATTTCCTTTTTTTGATTGTATCTCCTATTGATTTGATTATTACTCCTATATTTGTCCATCATGTTTATGATTGATTGATAGAGTGAACCGTTCACAATTTGTTTGTTGACTGCCGACTGACCTGAGCTCCAAGCCTCTAAAAATTCCCTGGTGCTTTTGGTATTCCCTCTATCCAAGATCTCAACATTTTTCCAGCAAAATCTTTGTCTACAGTTTCTTACATGCATTGATATAAGCGAAGATATGTCATAGCGTTTGACTGCTAATTGATGTTTGTGCAGGATAAAGCGACCATCCACTTTTTCGATGTAGTGTTTTACGTAGTTTTACTAAGTTCTTTTTACTTGTCACAGTATCTGCATCTTATTTGCAGGTTCGTATAAAACATCCATTTTGTAACTCGTCATGTTCTTTACTGTAGTTCCACAAGTTGCCTCAACTTCTAAAATTTATTTTTACCTAGCTTATTTCTAAATTTTTATATTCCTCACTAATCTGTATGTTCACCTGGCCTATGCATGCGTTGCATCATATCTATATACCCTTTAAATTTAATAATCATTAGAATTTCCTCTAACATTTTCCACTAACCCCATCGTAGTCGTCACTGCTATACGTATTTGGGTTTATGAATTGATCTGTCATATTAGTTGTCAAATTTGGATATTATAATAATGCACTAGTATAACAACTAAACTATCAGGTGGTTGGCCACACAGACATTTTAAAGCAAACCTCCGGAGACGTCTATTAACAGTAATACTATGTAGACGAATATTTATGAATTTAAATTTATAATATAGTCAGACAGCTAGGCTTCGTTAACGCTACAAATTTCTGACAATCTCGAACCACTTTCAAACAGCAACACTATAACTAGTTAAACGTGATGGTTTCAGGATATTGTCATGACTTGACAAACACGTAATGTGATTGATGAAATCGTTAAAACTACCAACAAAATCGGTTAACAACTCGACTTGTAATTACCAATAAATAGTGTTGTTTTCTCGTTATCTCCATCCACTACAGATGGTTACAGTATGTTTCTCTATCGGTCGCTCATTCAGCAAATATCTTAAAACCTTGTCAGCCTAAGTGGAGGTTGCAAATCATCAGTTTAAGTAGTCTATCAAATCTTCTGCAAACTGAAAACACTATCGAGTTTACCTCGACACTGACTAAGACTCCAGCCATTATCATAGACATGAGTTGGGGGTGTACTCCCCTTAGTTACAACTTATGTTCTCCCTGATAAACACATGAGCATCACTCGCTGTTAATAACTTTTGTAATGACTTATTTAGCCGATTAAATCTTACTATACCACATTACCTGTAGTTGCAGCGCATAAGCTTAGTTGATCTCAACAACTTATAATCACCATATCTCAATTAAATCGTTTACCGCCTTATGCTAAACTTCATACTTGTAACTAACTTGCACGCATCATCAACTGGTAGGTATAAATATAAACAAATAGTCTATGGGAAATCAGAACATTGAGTCTAGAGCATTTCTCTTACGAATACACTAAACTAATTCCCCTTAGATATCTGTCCAAAATTTATAATTACCACTTTCCACGTATTGAAAGAATTTTTACTAATCACTCATATGTATTAGCAGTATTACTAAATTCTATCTCGGTTAAGTAATAATGTGGTCGAGAAAATCTCCCAGTAACTAAATAAAACGCATCATACTTAACAAACTAACTGGAACACTAATTGGAATTTTTCCACAGTTATACTTTTATTCTTTCAGTCAACCTACTAACGTAGATGTTATTGGAAATCAATTCATATGGACAGTATGCCTACATAAATGTCAAATGACTTTATAATTTGAACCGAAGGTACTACCAATATTAACACAGACACAAAATTGATTAGTGACATGGTTCATTCTGCTGTATTGAGGGAAGCAGCTTCAATTCTGGCGACACCACTTAGCGTGATGTTTGCACACTCGCTAAGCAGAGGCAAACTACCGGAAATATGGAAGCTGGCCCACATCACACCAATTTTCAAAGGAGGTCGATGCAATGAACCCTCAAGCTACCGACCAGTGGCCCTTCTCTCCATACCTTCAAAAATTATGCAATCCCTAGTATTCGACGGCATACTAGAACACTTATCATCCTCAAAGTTCTTCTCGCCTCAACAGCGTGGTTTCAGAAAAGGTCATTCTTGTATGACCAACCTGCTGACTGTGGTTGATAGATGGACAAACATCTTTGATCGCAAGGGGAAGGTTGACGTCATCTACCTGGACTTCTCAAAAGCTTTTGATAGGGTCAACCATGCATGTCTTATCAAGAAGCTTGGACAATTGGGTATAAAACCCTCTTTAATTGATTGACTCTCTTCATATTTAGAAAACCGACACTTTAAGGTCAGGGTTAACTTCACTCTCCCTCAGGCTATGGAATGTCCTAGTGGGGTCCTCCAGGGTTCAATACTAGGACTTCTTCTCTTCTTGATTTATATTAACGATCTTCCTCAACAAGTTTCATCTGACTTATTGCTTTTTGCTGATGATGTGAAACTTTGGAGAGAGATACGTAATCATAATGATATACTAGTTCTTCAGGAGGATCTGACTCGACTTCAAAGTTGGGCAGACGACGACGGACTTACCTTCAACACTTTAAAGTGCAAGGTAGTCCATCTGAGACATGTTGCAGACTATAGTTATAACTTAGGTAACTCCCCTCTAGAAGTTTCCCAAGTTGAAAAAGATTTAGGAGTGTTGGTACCCTACGACCTGAAATCGTATGCGAACTGTGACAAAAACGCCTCTCAAGCAAACCTTGCACTGGTGACATTGAAGCGCATTTTTGGCCAGTTACGATAGAACCTTCCATATAATCTTCAACAGTTTTATTCGTCCCCATTTAGAGTACGGAAACATAGTATTTCCTCCCTCCCTCCAAAAGGATAAGGACACTCTGGAACGTCGAGTCACGAAATCAGTTCGGGGACTCAAATTCAAACCTTATGAAGAGCGCCTCAAATCACTTAACCTTTACCCGTTAGAGTACAGGCATCTTAGAGGTGATCTTCTTATGATTTATAGTATCCTTAATACTTCTGGTCATCCCCTTAAACAACTTCTTAAGCTTAGTCATAACACTAACCTCAGGGGTAACACCCAGAAATTGGAGACCCTACATAGCAGAACAGACTACAGACACAACTTCTACTCCGTTACAGTTGTCGAGTGCTGAAATTCGCTGCCGACTGGGCTAGTCCAAGCGACCTCCCAGGAGTCCTTTAAGAGGAAACTTGACTTATTCTTAAGGACTAAGGATAACATATTATTATGATTTACCAAATTCTTTTTTTTCCTCTATTATCATTCATATACCTAGGTTCTTACCTGGAGATATTGGCGACCCACTGCTACCAGACACGGAAGCCCGTTAAGCGAAAACTTCTTCTATTCCGTCCTCAACCATTTAAACCATTACCAAAAAGTGATTTGAAATCGGTCCGTAATTTATGTCGGTGGCAAACCAGAAAGTCATCGTTTCACTTTCTACACTTTCCAGACCTACAGTCGGCACAACTAACATCTGACGATACTCCACTAAATAGCCACTCAGTCTAGTTTTGCTTTGCTGAAATTTGGTTCACACTCTATGATAATCTTTTCCTAAAGCCTCTCTCTACACGTTTAGCAGGTAACTAGTCTTCAGGATGATCGTAATAATTATTTTGACGGTTCCTACTAATATTATGACTACGACATTCACGATACTGTCTTGTATCTGGTTTGGTTTTAATACACAAAATCCAACGAAAGCAGTATTAGTAATGAACTTTCGAAAAAAGAACTCTCACTAACTAAGAGACATGTTTGATAATTTAGACACACATTTTAAAGAATTTTCTTCTCTAGCTTGACTAGTGGGAAATTCGATGATAGAACTGAGCCTCTAGGCCATTAAATGCGCGAGTTTAATATCCAATGCAACGGAGGCTGAATGACTTAAATGGTGTTTTGCGTGGAATTGGGGTGGTATTAAATGCTACATTGAAGGATCAAACTGTCAAAGCCTCGTGGGCATGGTCAAAATCTGATTTTCGCGACGTTCTGGTTAATGTATCAAAGTCTCTATGCAGTAAAATAAGTGATCAGAATTTATCGCAAACTGCCAGCTATATAGCTGGAAGAATATGGCTTCTTAATCAACAGAACTTGATTATTGCCAAGTCGCTCATTTTGCCTAAACTCTCAGAGGGCTTGTGGTTCGTATCAGGAAGTAGTGTTAGTGATCAAGGGGACAGCTCTAACTTGGGTACTGACATCAAAACTGGTAATGATGAAGGAACGTCTCAGTTTAAAAGTCAGAAAAATGCAGCTGAATCTAATATCAGAAAACCACTCCTTCTTCAGAACTACCCGATCCCTTCTCCGCCAACCCTAGATCAAGTAAGTGTCAGATAAATATTCACTTCCAGAAAGCGTTCTCCAAAGAAAGACGCGTGCCATCATCACGTATAGGACGAGTAGCTGGTTTTGGAAGTAAGAATAGGTTTCGGTCTCACTTTCAGATTTGGCATTAAGTCTTAGTGTTGGAGCAGCTTCTGAGTGGGCTAAACAGAAAGTTGGATATCCTGGTAAACCTACTTTTTTAAGTAATAGTCAACTTATTTTTTAGTCTCTGGTGCTTCAGCTCCACCTTCAAATGTGTTTTTATCCGAGGCTAATCTTGAAAAGATCGTAGACACGTTGTGTCGTATGCGCGGAGCTGCTCTTAAGCTTGGACAAATGTTAAGTATCCAAGGTCAGTTGAATCCCTTCGGGGGCTAAGAAATCGCTTTGTTGTTGTCAATTTTGCCGGTCCCATGGAATTAAACTTTTTTCCTCTGCTCATCAGCGCTTCGTCAGAATTTATAGGAAAACATCTTGGTTAAGTAACAAGTTTAAACCCCTTCCATATTAACGGTGTACTGGTGGTCGGGTTGTTTCAGATCCTTACAAAATGTGTAGCTCACGGATTCGTGTATAACTATGTATTTACTTAATTATTTGCATAATTTCGAGTTATATGCCACTTTTCAATGTTCTTTTAATCCAGGTGTTTTTTAAAGCGTCAAATGTGATTTTAAGTATATTCTTTTTCTGTTTCTTCCTGTATTCGACTAGATGAGAGTTTTGTTAGTCCCCAGGTCCAAAAAATATTTGAACGTGTAAGACAGGCGGCAGATTTCATGCCAGCTAAACAAATGAGAAAAGTCCTAACAGCAGAACTAGGCGAAAATTGGACTGAACATATCAGTGACTTTGAAGAGAAGCCGTTTGCTGCAGCAAGTATCGGTCAGGTTCACAGAGCGACACTTAAAGATGGGAGGTTAGTTTTATATTAACCCTATCATTGTCTCAATAATTGTTTACTGTTGGATTCCTGAAAAGCAACCAATCGAAAGGGAAACTGACGTTAGTGACATGTACTTTTGAGTTTACTGATATGAGTATTGTTAGCACAGCAACATCTTCATACCTCAACCCTTGAAATAATTCATAAGGAATTCATTTTGTTATACACATCCCGTCAGTAGTTGTTAGTAACTTCTAGGCATACATTTCCCCTTGTGGTATATATCTAACTGTTTTGAACTGCTATCTTTAGACTTTTATATTAATACCTGTCAAACGCTGTCAAACTGAATGCTGTATATTAAAAGTAGTTCATGACATTTAATGAAACCAAGTTAGAGTAAACCACCTAATCCCAGCGTTGACAAGCAGCGTACGGTGTATGATATATTTCTACCTCCCTTATTTAAATCTAAAAGTAGTCGTAGAAGAGACAAAGATATGTATTATATTTCGCAACCCCACCGAATGCCCACAAATGCCCTGGTACGGCCGAGAGTGGGGAGAGTCTACTCTCTCTCTCGAAATGCTCTCACATGGCCACGCGAATATATAGCCTCTGCCAGGGAAGTCCTACTCACTGCCTTCTCGTGGCGGGGGTGTTGTTTACGAAAGTGAGAGGACGAAAAGCGAATGTTCGGCGCTATAACCGGATTGGTGGACACGGAGGGTCCACCTAGGGGAGTTGGAAAACCCTGATTCCAAACCAATGGTGCACATGGGCTCCAGTATCCTGATGGAACGAATGGCGGAAGAACCTGCTGTTGGTCAACGGCAACCATGGGACTGCATCTCCTCACGATGCTCCACTGCCTTGTGGATCAGACCTTTAGGTCAAAGGCTCGGGGTGTGGCCCCTAAGAAAACCACCTGCTTCGGTTTGGGCACCCGGGCAGTATCACAGCCCACACACAAACAAATGAATGAAATTATGAACTTTATTGACGATATCCCTGGTCATACTAAAAGCAAAACAATTAACATTATTATTATTATTACCTTTATTATTATTATTATTATTATTATTATTATTATTATTATTATTATTATTACTTACCATATCGCTAATTCACCCCCTTTTATCCCCAATTTGTGTAACCTTACTTTTCAACTTATGCAGCAGCTCGCTCTTGGTGGAAAATCTGTCCTATCTAAACGATCTCCAGTCACTGTCTGGTTGAAAGTGAATGCTTCCACCGATTATGAATACTGAAGCAGTCTTTCTGAAACCACGTACGCCGTTCAAGCTGGCTTCCTTCAACGTTCGCACACTAATGCAGATCAGACAACAGATAGGGCTGGCTATGTCTTTGGAAGGTCTTAATGTTGACGTTTGTTGTCTATCCGAGACCCGTATTCAAGACTCTAGTGAAGTACTACAAATCCGCTCTCCATCTGTCGCCTCGAAAAGCTTGTTCCACGTGCGCTTATCCGGGGACCCTGTGGCATCTTCGTCTGGTCTTGCTGGCGTTGGTGTCGCACTAAGCGCTAGAGCTGAGGCAGCACTCATCGATTGGATCCCCATTAACAGTCGGTTATGTGCTGTTAGATTAGAAAGTTCCATCAAAGTGAGAAGAAATCGGCGTGAGAAACGGTGTCTTTTCGTCATCTCCGCCTATGCCCCGACAGATTGCAGCCCGGATGCAATCAAGGATGAGTTTTACCATCAGTTAACAGTTCTTCTCCAGAAAGCGCGTTCGACAGATATTGTAGTTCTAGCCGGAGACTTGAATGCACAGGTCGGGCGTCTAGGCACAGAAGAGAGTCGTCTAGGTGGCCGATGGGGACTTGTTGGTCGCAGGACAGATAACGGGGACCGTTTGCTGCAACTGTGCACAGACCACAACCTGTTTCTGGCCAGCACTAACTTCCGGCACAGTCATCGCCGGTGTGCCACCTGGCGTCCTCCCTCTGCATCCCAAGCCTGGACTCAGATTGATCACATCGCGATCAGCTACCGCTGGCGTGGTTGTGTACAAGACTGCCGCTCCTTTTGGAGTACCTATCTGGAGTCTGATCATGCCCTGGTCTGCGCCAATCTCACCTTACTTTTCAGTGGCCGAAGGATTGACCACCACCAACGGATTGATATTAGTAAACTGGCTGCAACTTCTGTTGCAAGTAAGTATCGAGCGGAGCTAGCCTCTAGGCTAGCTACCACCCCACCGAAAAGTATAGGTAAGCATTGGTTGCATCTTCATGACGCCATGAAAATGGCGAGTAAAGCCGCTTGCGGCTTCGCGAAACGTCCCGCTTACAAGCACTGGGTTTCTTCTGGCTCCTTACAACTGACGGAAGCCCGTCGGTCTACTCCGGGTGACCGTGAGTTTGACCACAAACGAAGGCTGTTACGTAATGAAATCGGGCAAAGCTTGTGTAAGGACCGGGAAGCCTGGTGGTCGGAGCGTGCTAATGAGATGGAAGCAGCAGCTGCATCTGGTAACTGCCGGAAGCTCTTCCAACTCATCCGAGCCACTGGCAGCAAGAAGTCTGGTGTGAGTGAAACAATCTACGAGGATGACGGGATGCCAATCACTAACATCTATCGACGTCTTGGACGATGGGCGGAATTTTTGGAAGGGCAGTTCAACTGGCCTGCTGCTCCGGCAACATCAACCAGCTTGTCCTGCTCCCCATGGCCGGTGACGACTGATCCACCAAACGAGGCGGAAGTCCGCAAGGAACTTTAACTCTTGAAGCGCTACAAATCACCGGGCCCAGATGACTTACCTCCGGCTCTTTTTAAAGATGGTGGTGACTTTCTGGCTAAGGAACTGACTGCGTTGTTTGCAAAGGTTTGGGAGCAAGAAAGTGTTCCAACATTTTGGAATGAGTCAATAGTCGTCCCTATCTTTAAAAAGGGTTCACGTTGTTCCTGTAGCAACTATCGGGGGATAAGTCTACTTTCGATCGCGTCCAAACTATTGGCTTCTATCATTCTTCGTAGGTTGTTTAAAACCCGAGAACGATTGACTCTCGAGGAGCAGGCTGGTTTTCGTTCTGGTCGAGGATGCATTGATCACATCTTCACCCTCCGCCAAATGTTAGAACACCGTCATACTTATCGCAGGCCAACAATCGTAGTGTTTCTTGATATCAGGGCTGCCTTCGATTCGTTAGACAGGACTGTTCTCTGGGATTGTCTATTGAAGAAGGGTGTGCCTGAGAAGTTCATTAACATCTTAAAAGCCCTGTATACGAACACCTCAGGCAGAGTGAGGGCATACAACCACCTTTCTCCCTTGTTCCATTCGAGCAGTGGGGTTAGGCAGGGTTGCCCGATCTCACGATTCCTCTTCAACTTTGCCATCGACGACATCCTAGAAACAGCTCTGATGGATGTAAGTAATGGCGGTGTGGATATGTTGCCTGGAGAACGACTTCTCGACCTCGAGTATGCGGATGATATTGTCTTACTGTGTGATAATGCCCAAGGCATGCAATCAGCACTTAATCAGTTGGCAATCAGTGTCCGCAGGTACGGTATGTGCTTTGCACCCTCCAAGTGCAAAGTACTTCTACAAGACTGGCAGGATTCTAATCCTGTACTCACCCTGGATGGTGAGGAGATCGAAGTAGTTGAGAAATTCGTGTATCTAGGTAGCTATATAAGTGCTGGTGGTGGCGTGAGTGATGAGATTGATGCACGTATAATGAAAGCCAGAGCGACTTATGCCAATCTGGGCCATCTTTGGCGCCTTCGTGATGTTAGTCTGGCTGTAAAAGGTCGGATCTACAACGCGTCGGTGAGAGCAGTTTTGCTCTATGCTTGTGAAACCTGGCCTCTCCGAGTTGAGGATGTTAGACGTCTCTCTGTGTTCGATCATCGTTGTCTCCGAAGGATTGCTGACATCCAGTGGCAACACCATGTTAGTAATGCAGAGGTTCGGCATCGTGTGTTCGGGCGCAGAGACGATAATTCAACTGGTGTCACCATCTTGAAACACCGACTTCGGTGGCTCGGACATGTTTTACGAATGTCGTCCCAGAGACTTCCGCGTCGTGCATTATTTGCCGACCCTGGGACTGGTTGGAGAAAGCGGAGAGGAGGTCAGTGTATGACATGGTGTCGTGGCATGAAAGAGAGCTGCAAAGGGCTAGCTTCCGTTGGTCCTTCACGACTCCCTGGTTGGGGTCCGAGAGATAGTGCAACACAGTGGCTAGAGACGTTATCGGATATGGCTCAGAATAGAAGCCAGTGGCGATCCTGCTGCAACCTTCTTTTACTTTCTACATAAAGAATGGTTCTAACTTTCCTAACTGAAAGAATCTTCTGGTTGTACATTTCAGCCCGCCTTATCTTTTCATCCTTTATCTACCTACTTTCATTATTTTGTGTGGCGCATATGTACCTGGTGCCCTTTTGTACCAATATATATGTGTTTAAATAAAAAAAATAAATAAAATACATTGGTACAAGAAGGGACCAAACGTTCATTCCTCTCTTAATGAGTGTTGCTTAAGGACTGATCTGTTTCACTGCCTGAACTAATGATTTTATTTATTCATTTGTTTCAAAACAAAAATTGGCACAGAGGAGCACCGAAATATATATCTCTCACTCAATAAGAAAATGAGATTGTGCGAATATAGAGAAAGAAAGGTAAGTATAGCAAAAAAGAACAAAAAAGAATAAAAATAAGTGTATGAGAGTTTTAAAAAAAATAAAACGGGAGAAGCAGTTCAGTTTAAAAAAATATGATTAGGAGGGATTCTTCCAGTTAACGAAGTTCCTCTGACTTGTATGAATAAGGTAAAAGAAGATTACAGTACGACCTCCTCTGCCTCCTATTCGGAGTAATGTCTGATAATATCTCAAGCCAGTGTTACACTGTTTCTAGGGAGTTTCAACTATTTTAGTTATCTTAAAATTATCATCACCCCTGGTGGATTGGTGCTTGACGAAATCTTGACATGGATTCCTACTTGAATCACATGTAGTGTAGACGAGATGTCCGTATGCCAATCAAACGGT